TTACCTGAAGGAGCGCTTACATCCATATACGCCCGCCCGCCCCTTGAGATCTGCGGGAGAGGCCCTTCTCCGGGAACCCTCCGTGAAAGAAATTAGGAGGGTAGGTACTTGGAGGAGGGCTTTCTCTGCGGTGGCGCCCAATCTATGGAATGCGCTCCCCAGAGAGGTCCGCCTGGCGCCGTCGTTATTTGTTTTTCGGTGCCAGGCAAAGACCTTTTTATTTAAGCGTCATTTTAATTGTTAATATTATTTGCTTATTTTATCTGGCCAGGGCGACTTATTTTACATTGTTATTTCTTGTATTTTAATTTTATGTTGTGAGCCGCCCCGAGGCTTCGGCGAATGGGGCGGCATAGAAATGTTTTAATAAATAAATAAATAAACACTGATCTGTGTGGCAAGCCACTGCACAAGAATTGGTTTGTTGCATGGAGGGAGTCACTTCAAACCACCCCCACATGGTGCTTCCTATGCATCCATGGGTAGGATAACAGATACCCTGGCCTAGTTCACTTTTCTGAACCAACGGCTTTTCCTTCCTCCATGTCACAACTCCCAATACAAGATAAAAGTCAAGATATACAGATTCCACAGTCTTCTGTGCATCCATCATAATCACAGAATGTAAAAGGCTCATGTCCTCATGCAGCCTGATTCACACTATCATTTCTTAACAGAATCTTGTTTAGTGCTTGCAAGTGGCATTCCTTGGGTGGAAAGACTCAAAAGATTTGCCCTAAGCCAACATGCAACTGGCAGAAGCTGCTCACTGAATCAGCATTCCCTCCTTGAGGCTTCGGTGCAAAGAATTCTTAGCAAGCACACCTCCTTAGCTGTTACAACTATTAAGATGATGGCACGAGGTTCTCAACAGGCGGCTTGATTCCTTCCTCTTGTGAGCTATGGTTCTTCCCTTTGCGCATTCAAAGCCACAGACTTTGCAAAATGTTCTTTTTCCAGAAGCACAAATACCCAGAATGAATCTCTGAGCATGCAGAGTCATTAATTGAACTCAACTTGGTATTTACTTCTAGGAACTCTCCTTATGAGTATGTCTGGGCTCCATCCTTTTTTTTTGGGGGGGGCATTTTGGAAATGAGCACGCCTTCACTCTGCACACTGATCTTCCAATTGCCCCCCTCTGCTGACTCTCATCATGGAGTTGAGAGCCATACCCACTTCATCTATCTCTGAAAAACTCTTACGTTTTTTAACTGTACATCTTGGTTATTCTCAGAGGCTGCATGAGCACCTGAGAAGTACCTCCACTTCTCTCCTCAACATCTGGAACTGTCTCTCTCACTCCCAGTGCTCTCCAAGATTCTTGAAATGTTGAATCTTCATATTGTTTTATGTTCAAGCAATATGAAAAGTCAACGTTTTAACAATACTGAAAAGCTTACATACTCTGCCTGCTAACCCAAAGGAAATTTCTCCCCTGTAATAGAGTTCCTCAAATAGGAGGTATTTGTTCCTCTTTCGATAAGGGCTTTTAAATCAAGGTACCCAAATCCACTTGGCATGGCAAGCATCCATCTCCTTGTTCTCCAGCTCCTGCTCTTACTCTTTGTGCTGGCGTGGAGGACATGGGATTGTTCCTACAGGCACACAGCTGGTCCAAGGTGCCAGAGGGTCATTAATAACAATCTGGCACAAAGAGTCAAAATGTCTCTTTCCCACCAACCTGAAGGAAGGACAATGTCTAAAATGTGTAGACAACTACACATTTTAGCTGGTCATCAATGCTAGCTAGTCTTTGGGGACCTCTGTCTATAAATGTGATGGATAAAAAGTATCTGAAGCAGGATCAGCATTTTAAACACACATTTTTCACATGGATTTTTGTGCATAAAGCAACAAACAGAATTCTAGTTTCGATAGCACTTTTGCTGGTAAATGAAAAAGGAACAGAATGCCTCTTAGATTTAGTACAAGTCCTGCATTGTCCCAAAGGTTTTTTTGCAATTCAATAGCTTCATACTTAACATTCTAAATCTAGTGCAATTAAATCTAGTGCAATTAAAGGTTTGCATATGAATTTGCTAAATTTGTGTCAAAAGAGAAAAGTGAGTCATCAGCATTAACTGTGAGAGACAATTTTTGTAACTGTTAGCAATATTTCACTGTTGATTAGGATTTTGAAGTTACAAGTTTTATATTTCAATCATAAAATAAGCAGGATTTTCTTTTTTACACATGAAGAACTCTGCATATGGTTCAACATCAACCATGTGGATGCAACCCAAACACATAATCTTCCTTTAAATAATCTGTCTTGCAACTTAATAGGAAAAAAACCCAGAAGTACTCATAGGGAAGGGAACAACATAATCACTTGATCTTATCCCTGTACTTTCAAAGCCAAACTGGCATTCCCACAGTAGATCTCTAAGGAAATGAAAGTGAATACATATCCCATGAAAAGGAGAATACCAAAATAAATGAATAAATAAATAAATTAAATTAAATCATGCTGCCACTGTCCACAAGGGTAAAACTGAAGAGATACTGTTCAATTGGCCACATGTCGCAAAATAATGGTGGATTGTAAAGCTACTTGACTATTTTAATGGAAGATGCAGTGGCAACCTAATACATTCCAAAAAGATCACATTACAGGTTTCTCTTCATACCACATAGTACCATATCCCAGGATTACTACATACTTTCTGGAACTTGTTAATGAAAACAATCTTTTCAATAGCTAAAAGTAGACATAGGCAGCTACAGATTTATCCAGCCCGTTGATGGAAAATGTTATTTACAGGATTCATTTCCATGCAGATTTTCTACTTCCCAGGCAATACTGTCTCAATATCTGACTCAACGCAGCATACAGCTGTGTTAAATTAACTGTCACTTAAACATTTTGCACGAATGATTCATTACTGTTTCAGAACTAGAACAATGTTCTGTGTAGAACAGAGCACTGAAGGTCACACATTTCAGCTCTGGATTTTGAAGCGTTTTGTTGTACCACCTGACAAGACAAAAAACTTGAGCCAGGACAACACTTTGTTTCTAAGCAAAATGAAGCTTTCCACCAACACTGCTCTCCCTGAACAATGCAATTGCTTCTGCCAAATGCGTTTGTTTCAAAAATGGCCAGAGGCTCCTGAAGAAAGAAATGATTTTGCTCTAGTATAAAGGTTTGGAAAGCAGTGAGTCACCAATACCTATAAAAGTTGTGTAGCATCTGTTGATGGTTTTTTTTTTTGAGATTCACTGATCTTAAAGGTTGCACATTTGTCTGCAGAACCTAGCGGAACAAGTATGCCCCAAAGCCTTGAAAAGCAGCTTACAAAAGAAAGATTGAAACCATGCCACCAGGCTTACAATCTAAGAAAACACAAAGAAAAAGGATGAGTAAGGGAGAGATCATGTGCTAATATTTGTACTGGTTTAATACTGATTAAGTATTTTGGAGGCCACTCCTGATTCTTCTCTTCTGGGTGCCCTGCTCCACTTTATCCCATATCCCTCTTCCCCTTAGAGGGACTGACTACTAAGAATATATTCTAGAAAGCAGTGAGATAGGGGTATGGTGAAGAGAGTGTGAGAAGGTAGAAAAGACAGCCTGCCAACCACTGTTCTAGCTAACCAAAGGACCTGATCTCTCCTATGGAAGCACACCCACAGGATTCCTAATGTTGAAGCACTCTAGTACTACAGTCTCATTAAAGCTGCACCTTTTACATGTATGGAAGAGCACACTTACTTAAGGCTGAGGAACTATCCCTTATGGTATAAATCTATGAAATGCACCCTCAGTGAACCCCCAAGGATTCTCCAGCACCGAATATGATCTGGGACTGGGGCATCCAAGCTATCTTATGGTCTTTCAGATGCTACAGAAGAGGCACAGGACTGCTCCTTTAGTATAGTTTAACCTCTTTGGACATTTTGCCCACTGTGCACACAGGTTAATGGATGGGGTAGGAGGCTTAATACCATTAGTGATTTTAAATGGCTTTAGTGGATTGCACAAATTAGTGAGCTTTGCATCTACACAGCTTGAAACTTCATTTTTTTTGCAGCTCGAGTAAAACAGTGTCATCTTACATACACATGCAATCTGAACCTTCATTCTGAGAAAATATGTACGAAGTTTCTTAAGGACATGCAACATTCCCTGCACAGATTATTCAACGCAAGGTATTTTATTCATCTATTTATTTATTACATGTGTGATAAGGCTGCAATACTTGAATTCGCCAAGCCTGCGCCTTCTGCGAGTGTTGGACTACAATTCCCATCATCCCCAGTCAGCAGGGTCAACACGGGCAGTAATCGACCTCCAAACTGGCCAGGGTTAAGCCCCATCAAACAAAACGAAAAGCACTTTTGTGCAAGCATTCCCAGAATTAAATTGGAAAAAATCATTAACACACTGTTCACATAATTTTTTTTAAAATCCTTTTGCACAACTGGAAAGTTTTTTTTTTAAATCTGTTTCATCTAAATAGGATTGTTTACAAGTTCTTCTTCCCGGAATGAGCTTGAGGGCCTTTCATGCGAATTTCAGCAAAGTCCTGACTTCCAGCCGAACTTTCACCCCTCGAGAGCAAGCCCGTCGGACCTCGGCGACTCCGCTCTTGCTCCACGTCTCCTGCATTAGTTACGAGCTTCCCCGCCGGGAAAATGCGATCACTCTTAAGGCGTGATGTCTCCTCCAGCCCAAAACTCTGAAGAAATGGATCGGCGCCCGGAAGGGTTGCCGGGGAAAAGAGCAAGGGTGCCCTCCAGCCCACTCCCTTTCAAATACCGAATGCAACTTTATGCTCGGCTATTTGTGGCCAAGGATCTCCCCGCAGGAGGGGGCGAGAATTCAGGAAGCCCAAGGAGCAAGAAGACGAAGAAGCCAAGTGCCTCGCCTCGCCTCGCCCTGCCAGCCCGGACAAAAGGGGCGAAGAGGCGTGGCTGGAAAGTTTTTCCTCAGGCCTGAGCCCAGAAAGGGAGGGAGGAGAGCAAGGTCTCCCTCTTGCCTGCCGGCCACTCACCTGTGTCCGGTGCGTCGGCAAAGAACAATCGCCTTTGCTTCTCCCTCCGCCTGCCGGAGCGGGATCAAGCAGCACCAGGGGCTGAGGAAGAGGCGGCGATGCATGCCATCTTCCCTGGCAGCTCCGGAGCAACTGCCTGGCTCCAGGGAGCATCTTCCCTCGTCCTCCTGCGCGTTTTTAGGAGAGAGGCGTTCAGGCGCGCAAGCCACGTCCCGCCGGAGCGCGCCCGCGCGGAAGGCGAGGCAGCAGCTCCACCACCCTAGGAAGCCGCCTCCAAGAATCAGAGAGGGCGGGTTTAAAGGGGAAGGCGCTTCTTCCCTGCTTCGGATATCTTCGTGCCCGCCCCGCCACCTCATATGTTTGGCCGACAGAAAAAAAAAAAAAGCGCTTCTCTGAGAAAACCAAAAGGGGATGCTACTTTAGGGCGGAGCTGCAAAGTACTTTCTGCCCTCCCAGCTCGATGTCTACATGGACCTCAATAATAGGGCTTACTGCAAAAGATGTAATAAGGGTCTTTGCACTGCAAAATCAATACGAAGAAAGCTTTGCAAGAGGATAGGTCCCTGCCCTGCGGTGTCTACAATCAAAATTTTCTGAAGGGTATCTAGTGCCTGCATCCAGCTAGTTTCCAAAGAGCAACAGTTCATCTATTGCAGAGAAAAGAGCAGAGGACCTTGTGGTACTTTAAAGACTAACGTGTTTAAATGCAATCCTATGCATGTTTGGGCAGAGTAATATGTTTCCCAGGCAGCTTGCTGGGGAATGCTGGGAGTCGTAGGACTTCGAAGCTGTCATGGACAGGACATTTTGAAGGGCTTTCATTCAGAGGGTCGCCATAAACTGGAGACGGCTGGACGGCACATAGCAGCAACACATATGTATTGCATTGCGCCCTTATTTGGTTTGAACTTTCCTGAATTGTGAACACCTCGGCGGAGCCGAGAGAGGAACGGGCAGGAGATGGAGGTGCCAGGGAAGGAAAACAGATACTTCAAGTTAGAAGCTGTAGGGACGGGGAAATAAAAGATTACGATGGCGATTTCAAACCTGCAAAATCAATATAAAGAGGTTGTAAGAGAAAGTATGAAGTAGCTTCAAATATAAATGAGACCATAATCCACGGATATGGGGATGGCTCTACTAAGGGATTAGATCTAGGATATGCCACAAAAGAAGAAAGGGAGAAAGCTGAAGGCTGCCCCACAGTGCCAATTCCTGCAACTGGAGGGGCGTGACTGGAGTGACGTCACGGGACTGTCAGTTGTCGAAAGGGAGCCCTCTGCTATGGGCTGACCCAGTGTAGTGGGAGGAAGATTTGAGGTTTTAGAAAGAGAGAAACTGTAAATTTTGTTAATAATGTCGTGTTTTGCAAAATATCTCCCTCGCCTAATCGCAGCTTCAGGTGGTTCTCTGTGCAGCAAGTTAGCAACAGGATGAGTATGGCAATCCACTACTCATGTGCTTGATGTTTTTATAGAACTGTTTATTGCTGCTGTGGGTCCAAGTTCCACTTGCAGAAGAAAACATCAATTGCACACTCGTGCTGGTTTAGCCAAAGGCCTGAAGATTTAACTCACCACTCTGAGAAGTCAGCCCAAAACCTGTGCATTGCTCTTGAAGGAATTTGTCCACTGATCTTCAAGTAACATTAATTCACAGCAAATGGCACCCCTTACCTCATACTTAAAATCACTAGTAGTAATTTGCATCCACATGGCTGCTCTCAAACAGGGAAATGGAAGGAAGAGAGCAGTGAGTAACCTTTTACAGTAATTCCAAATTAATATTCATTACTATAAACTGGAGTTTTAGTACAAGTGGTTGCCAGCTATTCAAAAGCAGATTTTGGTCATATTTAACAGTTCAGATCATTTTAGAAGCCTGAAGCTTAACTAAAACTATAGTGCTTTCTCCCACCACCTACTACCTTTGTAACATTTAGAAAAATCTAACCCCAATGCCTGATGTTGGAAGGCATTTTTAATATTTTAGAGGTTTACTAAAGGTACCTGTATCCTCCAATTATGCATATCCCTCACATTTTACAACCTGTGTAAATTACATAAAGCATGCGAGAATATAGTTTGGAGACTGAGGAAGCTCCAAATAATAGATTCCTTTCTTTCAAGTATTCTCCTGTCTGCTTTGCACACACAAGGTGGCCTTTGACAAGCACCCTTCTCTCACTGCTCTTCCCTACTTATCTCCCCCCCCACACATACATACACAGCACTGCAGCTGAGGCTGGTTATTTTGATGTTTTTAATGTTTAAAAATTATGGTATTCTGGCTTTTTAGCTTGGTATTGTTAAATGAAAAAAACATTACAGATATTTTCTGAAATAAAATAGTACATTATGGAGATAACACCAAACCAACTTATACGACTGTTGTAAGAATTACAAAATATGTATGTGAAGCGTTTTAAACTGCAATATAAATGCTGTGTTTTGCAACCTATTTTCCTTCTGTAAGGACTAGAAACTTCCATAAAAATTACTCGCCTCCTTGCAATTCTCTGGATTCTCTGCAATCAGCATATTTTGTACTAGACATCCATCCCTTAATTCTTCATTAATACACCATTTCCCTCTTCAGAGCACTTCAAACTATGAATGAAAACAAGTCTATCTGGACTGTTACACACTTCTTATATATTTTCCCCAATTGGGTGCTGACTTCAGAATCAATCTGATATAAAAAGGACTGCTACATAATTGTGTTGTTTTCCCTGTCAGCCAAAGGCTTGAAACATTAATAGTCCACACATTATTCCATGGCATTTCTCTTCCCAAGGCACGCTGAACCCAGCTTGCAACAAAAGACTTGTTACCACACATTTTGATGCAGAAGCCAATACCTGCAGTTATGCAGCTGGGGGCAGCTGGGGTGTCACTCAAATCACTGTGCCATTGCTCCTGGCAGGCAGGTTTGGGACACCATGTAGTGACGATGACAGATTGACATGCTTCCAAGAAGCTGAGTCAAAATGGGAGAAGCATCCCTTCTTTTTTCTATTTCTTTTAAAAGTCTGACACAATAGCCTTTGTGATCAGCCACCACATGAATGGTGTTACTTTTTTTTTAACCACAGCTTAATGAAAAATAATTTTATCCAAAATTGGGTCAGTCTAATGGATTCAGTTCTTACACATAAACAATTGACCATCTGAGTAGAACAGTTAGATGGAAAATTGCATGAACATTGTTAATGCATAGCTGCTTTTTATTAAAAGAACAAACTTATGATGCCTGTCTGGATGGGGCAGGGGGGAAGCGTAGGATACTTGGGTTCCCAAATCTGAGATAGGAGGCAGCATCCCAACCTCAAAGCTGGGAATTAAGAGTTCTAACCCTCCCCCTCACTTCCTTGCAGCTGGCACAAACAGTGGCTTCTCTCCAAGGTCAGGAGAGTGACCTCAGAGAAGGGGTTCAAGGAGCATGGAGCAGCCAGGATATCCTGAAGTTGCCCTAGCCTCCCTCCCTCCCTCCCTGAAATACTCTAGCTAGATCATCAAAAAAGCCTAATTAACAAATATTGCAGGCTGAGAGGTGCAGACACCTAAGATTGCTTCTACCACTCCTGCACTGTACGGGATGAAATGTGAGTTTCTGAATTCAGAGGTTTCCTATCGGCTTGGTAAAAACTGGATTTTACTCTGAGGTGCTAGATTTCCTCTACTTGGATTTCCCATTGTTTGAACTTCATGATGGGGCAGAGGGGGCTGGTAGGGAATCCCTACTGATACATAATTAACACATGGGTACTATTACAGCAATCTAGGTTACAAAAATATTGGTATTATTTAGCAGATGTGCTCATTTTAGAAGCCTCAGCCTGAACTCAGAAAGCAGATAATACTGCAATTGTATGCACACAGTATACATAGGATTGTGCTGTTTATTAAGTACTATTTAAGGGGTAATATTTCTACTACTATTTAAAGTTTGGAAAAAGCACACAACAAAGTGCCATATTGGCTAATGTGGTGGTGACTTTGGGAAATGCATTCAGCCTAACCTAGCTCACCATGATTTTGTGAGGATGAGGAGATGCAAAGAACCATGTATAACCTTGGAAGAAGCATAGAATAAAAATGACAACCTTGCACTGCATTGTTGTGCACTTTAGGGGAGAATAAATTCAGTTCTGCTTGGATTATTTATAACAGGGGTCTCAAACACAACTTACCTGGGGGCTGCTGGAAGTAGAGTCTGGGTGAGGCTGGGCCGCATCAAGCGGTGGTGGTGGGCCGCTCATCCCGCGTGGCTCCCGGAGGCCAGCCCGGGCACCGCCAGTGCTTTGAAGGCCGCAGGGCCCCTCCCCGTGCTCTGCCCGTCCCGGCAATTGGCCCGCAGGCCGCAAGTTTGAGACCCCTGATTTATAACTTATCTCCTTCAGTGGCAGTCTTTAACATTTCCCCATTTCTGCTTTTATCCACATGACAAGTGTTTATGTTCCACCTTCCAAGCACACAAGGCAGAACAGGCTAACCATTTAACATACAACTCCCCTGCTCCCAGATAAAGAACAATATGACTGGGTCACAGTCCGTCATATGCCTGATTGACATATGCTCACTGAAACCAATTTGTGTGAATTTAGGCTAAATTTGTCTTGATTTCATCAGTGAGACTACAGTAGCCTGATTCCAAAGACTTCGATTAAATAATACTTTCAAAGGTTAACATCATTGAACAGTTGAGGCCTGCTGGGAAAATTAATATCCCCAAGTTATTCTCAGATATCTATTAATAGGATACATTTTATAATTCAGCTAAAAACTAATGGCTCAAAAAGGCAAAGAATCAATCTCTATTTCTGTGTGCATGTATGTCTGTTGTGTGGTATGGTGCAGCACAAATTCACAGTGACTCAGATAGAATGCAGCTCTTACTAGTGAAGTGACAATGCTTAAAGGTCTTGGTAGGGAAATGCTTCCCAGACTCACTCATCCCATGTTTCATATTTGTCTCTGCACAAAGAGGAGTATTAGCAGGTAATAATACTCACCACACAGATCTGCTAGAAAGATTATAGGATTACTCTGAAGACTTAGAAGCCCTACTGCAAATACTAAAATATTAGCCTTGCAGACCTCAGTTTTGCAAGAAGGTCAAGGAGGAAATATCTTTTAAAATCTTGAATTGCTGAAGGTTCTGTGGTTCCCGCATGAACATCCCATAGATCATAGGAGTGTTCAGATTCCCCTGTCTGAGATGGAGACAGTAAATCAACCTGGAAGAGGAATCAAAGATCCACTGGCTACCTCTATTCAGAAAGTGGATCTCAGAGGAGGAGGAGGAAGGTGTTCCACTGGGTGGGAAACAGACTGGATAGGCCAGGATATGACTGGTTGTCCTCCATTTTCTCTCTGAAGCTTCCTTACTAGTTGGGCTGAAAGAGAGAGAAAAATCCAAAGAAAAATCAAGGAACATAGGTCAGGGAGGCAAAGACTGTCTCTGCCATTCCCTTTGTTTGCCAACAGTGAAAAACTAGCACTTGTGACTATCCAGCACTTCCACTGTTATCTAACTTCAAGTCAACCAGGTACTTGGACATATAAATCATGCAACGATTGATACATTTAATTTGAAGTTAAACATCAAGGTTACTCACTGAGAACTTTTGGACTTTCCTGCAGCCTACCAAAGGATATCTTGCAATGAGTGATGCTGGAACTGGCAGCAATACTATATTTCAGGATGGGTAATTTGAGGCCCTACAACTCCCATCATTCTTCAGCATTTGTTATTCTGGGTAAGACTGATGGAAGTTGTAAACCAAAGCATCTGTAGATCTACAATTTGCCCACCTCACTATATAGACTGAATGAGCAGGCATCTAGACTGCTAACACAAGAAACAATCAGGCTTATATTTGCTTTTGCAGAAGCCACTGGATTCTTTTTCTGGGAATCCTCATGATTATTCTTGCTGGGTGCCTGCCAGCAATGGTGTATAGCACTCATCTAACCCCACCATTGTTATGCTTTTGATTGTATAGCAATACGGGAAGAATTAGGTATGTGCCAGGTATCTTCGAACTAACAGGCATGAAATACCTTATGCAAAGCAAGTACTTCTCAAATGTATTTTTATAACAATTTTATATACAAAATATAGAAGAATAAAACTTTGAGCAATGGTTTTACAGATTGTTTACGGTACATCATGGCTTTGGATACTTTTGGATATTCAGCACTAAGTTCCAGCAGAATTGTTTTATTCTACAATAACTGCTTGCTGACAACACATTCCTACATCTGACACATTTAGGATTCCATATGACATGTTTTCAACCAATTTCTTTACTAAAATAAATTTGACCTATTTTGTGAACTCAAAATGTGAAGTATAGAAAATACCAATTTTCAAATATTAGGTAACAGAGATACAACATTCTTATGCTTTTACACAGATCTAAAATGTGCCATAAATTAAGTTGAATAAGCAGTGACTTTCTGCTGAGAAATCCTTTAACATGCTTTGGTAAAATTAAGGAAAATGTCATGTGAATCAGTCTATAAAATTAAAGATACAAAAGTAAAAGAATAACACACCTTCGTTGCATAAGCACATTTTGTGCATGAAAGTAAACTTCGATATAAATATATATCTGCGAGTGCACAAAAGTATTTTTCATCTTTGGGGGGGGAAAGCATTGCTTTTAAAATTTCTTGCTGTTATCTTGTTAAAGTAATAAATGAACAAACAAAATTTGTGATTCAGTTGTCCCATGCAAGTATGACTTGCCATGTGTGTCCAGAATGCAAGTTCAGAAGAGCAACTTAAGATATTGCAAGCTAATATTTGGATCATGTGCTGCAGGAACTCCCCACCTTTACATGAAATAAAAGCATTTTCTACCTGTCTCATGGTGGCAAGAGAAAAATGAAGAATCCAGAACCACAATTGTTGCAAGGTACATACAATAAACCAGAGTTAAGTGACACTATCCATTGCTAGGAAGCATCACAAGTCAATTATCTTTTGCACAAACTGCAATCCAAATTCAGCAATATCACCACTTTCCCCTTTCCTGCAATTCTATACAATAAAGTAGTAAACATTCTTTCTTACTAGAGCAAGCTAAATTTAATATTAGTGTTTAAAATATAGTAATCACAGATATAAAACACATGATCAAGCAAAATTATTTTAATTAGCTGATCATAAACAAATCCACATAAAGGTCTGATTAAATGAATCACAGAGTTGTAGTTTCCTATGTGGATTCAGATTTGTTTTAATATGTATTAGTCAATTTTATTATTTAACTGAGATAGTGATTTATTATTGAATCACTAACACTGTAGCACACTAAGCAACTCATACTCTGTAGTTACATTTTTTACATTTTCTTTACAAATGTTAACACTTCTGTACATTATATATTTTTATTTCTAGGATTCGTGTATGCTGTATTGAAACTCTATCGTCTTCACATAGAAAATGGTGAAGTCTTCAAATATGACTTATCTCTTTTACAAATCCATATAAACAGCATGGAACACTGCACTTTGGCATCTCTGCTAGAGATCGGAAAGACTATATTAAATGTTGGAGGGAAAGGCTCTGATTTTAGATTTCATTAAGAAATACTATTCCACATTGCTATGTAAGTTCACCAACTTGAAACGAACAGAAGCACCATATCGTTGCACAACTGGAAATGCATATAATCCGACAAAACATACTACTAAAACTGCATAATAGCCATCATTTTTATACTGAAGCAGAACTGTAAAATTCATCTGAAGATGTGCATTTTGTCCTTTCAGCTGAAAAGCTTTAGATATGGATGCTCAAGAACCCATGCCTGGTTTTATCACTTTCTATGTGCTTTTTTCACAGTTGTCATTTAGTTAAGTCAAGAACTAGGCTGTTTGTTTTTGTTTCTTCCTTTTCACTTAGAAATCTGTTGTTGAATGTGAAGTAAAAATTCATAGTAAGAGAATGCTGCCTCTGTTTTGTCTTCAATCAAGTTCTGAAGAAAATCAGCCTTTGCAGGACTTTCATCCCTAAAACAAGAAGAGAAAAAACCTTGTGTTGTTTTTACAATGTTCACCTAGAACTTGTTCGCATCGATGCATATGGGCACAGACCACAGCAACACTCCTTCCTGAACTGTCTAGGTTAGAACAATGCTGTTTTAATACCTGCCAGAAATAAACTGGGCAAATTCTGAGGGTCATGCAGACAGGTTCCAGTAGAACAAGCTAGATGTGCAGATTCTTCCAGAGTCACAACATATTTACAATAATATTTTAGTAAATGCCAAATTAGTGTTTTAAAAACACTGGTTGACTAAAAGAGGAACAGCTACTCAGTATTGCAGTGTATTGAGGTATAGCAGACACCTATCTAATCCTCCACAACCAAATTATTCCATGACCAACATCATATTTCGCATGCCCTCTCATTATGGGAACTGCTAAACCATTCTCACCTCTATTAATTGCTAGGCCACACTTTCCTCTTTCTTAAATTGCGAAGCAGGTCTACATAGGCATGAGACAATCTCAACCAAAATCCATTCTTAACAGATAAGATCATGCATTTCTCCTAGTAATGACTCTGATTCCTCCATGGCTGGCCTTCCTACCTCACCAAGCTGTGCAGGTGGGAAGACACCTACCACATTAAAACATCAGAAGATGTTAGGTACAGTATATCACAGAAGTGAGTACACCCCTCACATTTTGTAAATATTTTATTATCTCTTTTCATGTAACAACACTGAAGAAATGACACTTTGCTACAATGTAAAGTAGTGAGTATACAGCTTGCATAACAGTGTAAATTTGCCTTAAAAGAATGTTGCCTATTGAAAGCAGAAAACCATTCTCAGTACTCTGTGATTATGGCACAAATTCTTACCATGCAGGTACCACTCCTTGGAAATGAAGTGCTGCCAAGTAAATGCCTTGCATGCCCAATTTTAACAAGAGGGGGATACCAGTTCCAACTCATGGGCTATCAGCTTGTAATCCTTGTCTAAGCTAAAAGATTGATAATAGAGCTCTGGTGTGCTGTGATGCTGTGAGCATTCAGAAACTTCTACATCCTCCTCCAATCAACTGGATGCCAGGACCACATGTGAACTGAAGTGCCCCACAATTTCTGGACCAATGGAACCCAGTGCAGATAATTATATATAAATGTAACCTAAAGTACATTTTAAGTGGAAAGAAATATTTGTTTATAGCTATGGCTAAAAAGATGACTGATGTCAGTAATACTGGGATACTTACTTTATTACTTGAAGTACTGGGATGAGAGTTTTACTGTCCTTAAGCCAGGATATAAAGGACCTGGTTCGTTCTGAAGAAAGAGTATCTAGTTCTGGAAGTTGTGTCTAGAAGAATTAAATGTTATTTATCATCTTCAACAGAAGAGATAGCTGATGTTCAAGTAAACACCAATGATGAGTTACATAAGTGAAAAATCCAAAACAGTCTCAAATCAGTGTCATTTTTCTTTGTTCCATCATCTAACTTCATTCCCTTTTTTATTTATATTATGCATCTATGTCAGGTATGAATTTGAAGATGTCTTATAATGATAAAAATAAAAACTAAAATACAAAATAAGCCATCAATTACGCAGATATGAAAAAGATCAAGTGAACTGTTTACACCTCATACTCACAAATACTGAACTTGCAAAGCAGACAATTAGAGCCAGTGGTACAGCCACTGTTACAACCACTGTTAAAATGAATTTTCTTCATGTGATCCTAACAAAGTAATTATATGCTTCAAAAATAATTGGCTACAAAGGTTTCTTTCTTTTCTTTTCTTTCTCTTTTTTTGAGAGAGTATGATCCAGTCCTTAACCACAACACAAAACTGAACAGGTTCAAAGTGTACTCTGAACCAGCGAACTCCCAACATACAGAAGAAGACAATGAACTGGTATACCTGCACCATTCCATAGTTGGACATTTAAGACCTAGGAGTTTTAGCCCAGCTTTCTACTTGTCACCTTCCAAGCTTAGCCCAATATGTTCAGGCAACTCAGAAATGTCTATAGAGAGATACTACATAAATCCTTTATTCCCACCGCAGGTCTCAGAGCTGTCTGACTCCATCAAGCCGCTCTGGAGGTGTATGGGTCTATGTAAAGAGATTCCCTTTGCTATCCCCAGACTTTCATGCATAGTGCATGCACCCTTAGGTTCCAGAGGCTGGATATGGATGGCAAGTACACCATAACCTGTATGCAGACATTGAGGTTGTCAAATGCAGACACACACACAAACAGGACTGGATTGCAATTATATAAGGGTTCCATTAGTATTCTCATGGAAACCACATATAGAAGTTATCACAAAAGCTGGACAATGTACAAGTCATGCATGTGTGCCAAACCATTATCTGCCACATTTCCTGGGTCTTTAATAGAATATTAAGGGCTCCAAGTACATTTTAACAAACATTTAGTCCTTGTGGTTACATACCTACCATAGAATTGTAAAGGTTGCTAAAAGATCTCAAACAATAGTATAAAGTGTGAGTCTCATTTCTTATTATTTTCTGCTCCTATAGATCAGCAGTTCCCAAACTGTGTTCCACAGAATGCTAGGGCTCTGCAAAAGCCTCATAGCCATTCTGTGAAAAATCTCAAAAATCAAATTTTAAAACAGATTTTAAAATGAAACCTCATGAGGCCAACTATTCAATTGTCAGTTGGCATCCAAGCAGCAAACAAGGAAATGCACCATGTCATTTTGTTCCTAGGACTATATTGTGTAGTGTTGGGAATAATTGAAAGAATTCATTTGGGATACTACCATATAATCATTTTATTCATTTGTTAAATTTAAAATGTTTTCTCTTTATTTCCAAACCGACTACATTATGCAAAACACTCAGGCAATAGGAGCAGATGAACAAAGAAAGAACATTGGGGGTTCACAATGCTTAGCAAAAATCAGGGATAGCGTTTGTGTTCTGCGGGAAAAAAAATGTCTTCAGAAAGGTTCCATGACTGAAAAATTTTGGGAACTGCTGTTCTAGACTGCATGATGGGCTACAATTCTAAAACAAGAGTACTGTACATACAATTCTAAAACAAGAGTACTGTAGCAAAAATGAAATACTATACAAAGAATGGAGTGCCCTATAGCAAGCTGACCACAGGGTCAAAGTATCAACAAAAGAAAATACATTTTCAATCCTTTGAATATAAGAATAAGTAATTCTTTAAAAGTATTAGATGTATTTAGAATAAACTCTTACCAGTTTTTGAGGTACTGATGAATAGTTAGGGTATCCAAGGACATCTTTTATGAAGTTATCACAGCTTCTTCCAATCCAAATGTAAAATATCTGAAATATATTAAATTGTGTCAGTAAATTATGACAAGATGTACAGTCATCAAAATGAAATCAGAAATTTATGCTTTAAAAAACACAGAATACACAATGTCAGAATGCACAATAATTTATGCAATGAGAACATACTGAGGTACTCATGAACTAACATGTTTTATTTGAAAATAAGTTTACCAGCTCATCTGAACTCTGCTAATGTACCTTTCTTAAAAAAAAATTCATGTATTATCCTAACATTTACTTTTTCTTTATCAAGATTACAAATTGTCATCAAAACAGCACACCAAATATGCAACTTACAGATCCACAGTCCATAAGAAAAGCACCTTCTCTTGTCAACTTCTCCGCAGACAACCGCTGAAGGGGGGGTTGTGGTACAACTCTATCGTTGACATGTATAGCACCCTATACAAGAAAGTTACATTTATGGATACGCCTCTCAGCTACATTGTAGTAATTAAGCAAGTATGGCTGGTAATTACATTCAGCCAATTCTCAATGCTAGGTTTCTGAAGGCCCTTGGACAAAGCAATTTCAATGGACCCACCTGCCTCAGTGAAGCTACCTTCTACTACCAATGTCATCAGCTGCTATAGTCCTTCACCATCTTCTTCTGCTCTGGTTGACAGACAGAAAGTGGCAACTATAGTTTCTCCTCCTCATCACCACCTTTATCTGATCCAGACTGAAAGGCAGGTGAAGAAACTGGTTTCAGTGATGAAGAGGAGGAGTAAATGCAGAGGACCTTTCTTAGCAGTTCTCCACTGGAATGTGGGCTCTTAGCAGGTGCCTGACCAAACTTACCGTGAACCAACCCATACAGCTTCTAAAAAACACTAAAGACTACACAACCCAATAAATGTGAAAACCAAAGCTAAGGATCACTTTAAAGTACATCAGTGTTGCCACTAAGTATCCAAAAACAGATACAATCAATGGTATTTTAGCCCTGTATTAGGGTTAGGGGTCTACACCAGAGCAGGGTTAGGGTTAGAAAAATGAGGTGTCCTGGCATGATTTTGACGGTTGGAATGCATTTAGAATGGGCAGAAACGATGACCTGTGCAGAAAAAGCTACTCAGGGAAGGCTTTTTCAAAATCATCCTCTTTTCAATGGAACTTTAGCCCTGTATTAGGGTTAGGGGTCTGCACCAGAGCAGGGTTAGGGTTAGAAAAATGCGGTGTCCTGGCATGATTTTGATGGTTGGCATGCATTTAGAATGGGCAGAAATGATGAGCTGTGCAGAAAAAGCTACTCAAGGAAGGCTTTTTCAAAATCACCCTCTTTTCAATGGAACTTTAGCCCTGTATTAGGGTTAGGGATGTGTACCAGGGTAGGGTTAGGGTTAGAAAAATGAGGTGTCCTGGCATGATCTTGATGGCTGGAATGTGTTTAGAATGGGCAGAAATGATGAGCTGTGCAGAAAACGCTACTTAAGGAAGGCTTTTTCAAAATTGCCCTTTCAATAGTATTTTACCCCTATGTTAGGGTTAGTGGAATGCACCAGGGAAGGGTTAGGGCAGTTGTGGTGACCTATGGCATGCATGCCATAGCCGACACACAGAGCCCTCTTTGTTGGCACACAAGCCTAGTTGCCCCAGTATCGTCCCATCAGTCGAGCTTCGGATAACTGCACACATAGGGCCTATGCCCATGCTCAGAAAGGAGTCACAGCACCAGGTGATGACATCACTAGCTGCGACTCAGTAGTCACAACTCATCCGAGCCTTCACATGGCTGATCAGTACGCTGCCAAGGAGATTGCTTGGACTGGCTATGAGTTGTTTTTTCTAAACTAAAACCTGTCATGCCTGAAGCACCGACAGAGGCAGCACCTCACGAGGAGGTCTTGTGCTTGCGATCCTGTACCCAAATGCTAACCCCACAACTTAGCTTGGGGTGGCTGAACAGACAGCTGCACCTCACCCTGACTCCACGCCCACTGAACAAACACCCGAGCCCACATCAAAGCAAGAGAGCCCCGAGGGAAAAGGCACTACGAGTTCTGCCCAGAAAGAGTTAGAGCAGACTGTCCCTCCCCCTACTGATGCTGAACTTCCTGAGAACGACACAGGAGGCACAGGGGGTGTTATAGACTTTTCCCTAGCAACCAATCGCAGAACTCTGAGGAGGTGGGAACAAAGACAAGCCTTGTTACGTCAGAGAGAAGAAAGGTGGTGCCAGGAGAGCTAGTCCCAGTGGGCTAGGGGAGAGATGCCACTAAAGGATTAGCATCTGCATTGCAAAGAGCTTATCTATAGAGTTGTAAATCTTGTAGACAAGTAGCAATAAAGGACTTTAGTTTTATTGCTTGTGAACGTGTGGGTTGTTTACATGTTGAGTAGCACCTCGATAAAACCTCAGTTTTCAGGTTTTATTGTAGTGTTGGAATTTTGCGACAAATAAGTGGGTTTTGGGTTGCAGTTTAAGCACTCGGTCTCTAAAAAGGTCGCCATCACTGCCCTATACACACCCTGCTCCTATTCTGACTACACTGTTTGGGACAGACTATTAAGGCATTAGAAAAAAATGTGCACAGCCTCCATCAATTCAGTAAATTTAAGCAGACTCTCAATACATGGATTCAATCCATGACACATGCATATCCACTGTGCCCTATTTAATGACTTCTCAATCTACTTTTGAGTCTGTTGAGTCAAAATGCATCCACAATACTGAAGATATAAAGCAACAAAATGTTTAATTCCTGATGCTTACATTATATTAAGGAGAGTCTCTTTATAACTAGACTGATGTTCATATAACCAGCTCCACTGGCTACTGTGATTTGAACCAATTGAAGTTCTGAAGTCATTTTTTTAAGACAACTCTATATTTGTGAAACCTACTAGAATGTGACCGGGATGCTGATAACAGTGGTCAGACTGTCTCTGTTCAGGGTTAGTATAACTGCTAATGTAGATGTACTATAAAATATACACGTACCTCATCAGTAAGTTTGTCTATCCTGTATAAATTGGGGTATATCATCTTCATCAAATGAACCAGTGGTTGACTTTTTATTTGGCACATAGCATATACCCGATCATCCAAGCGTGTACTTGTGCCAGTTCTAAATGCTTTCTGTGAAAAAATAAGTAACCAGTTTAGGAAAAAGGCACTGGATGGGAATGGTATCATGACAGAGGAAGGACCTTGGCTATGCCCAGAAAAATTGCCTGGGCTGGTACGATTTCTGACGACCCTACCTTGACAGGCAGGCAGGCAGGCAGGCAGGCAGATCGGAAGGAAGGACGGACAGAAAGACAGAGATCCAATGCCATACCATAACATGCTTATTAAACTCCCATCTGTTTAAGAAGAGATGTGCCTGGGCTGGGGACTTTCGGTTCAGAAACACACCACCAGCCTTCCTGTGGGTGACTGAACTTGTTTCCAATGTCTCAAGCCAATGATTTTTAGAGAAAGCAAGCTAAAATAAGGCTGGAAACAGTTTCTGATAAACAGTCATGCCAGGTTTTTTTAGAAATCTGAGGTGTTGGTATGTCTCTCATAATTGTTATGACAAAACAGTGTTAATAAGTCTTTCCAATAGCCTTCCTCACCCTGGTGCCCTCTTCAAGTGTCAGACTGCAACTCACATTATTCCCAATCAGCATGGCTACGGGCCATGGACCATTCTGGCATGGAAACATGGGAGCTGGGTATTTAACACATCAAGATGGCACCAGGTTTGGGAAGGCTAGACTAGAATTTACTGTCTTTCTTCCATAAGGCTTCCCATTGACAATGTGGTATTTCTTCTCCAAGATTTTGCTTCCAAATTGTCATACATTTCTTGTCTTGTTGATTTTCAGTGTAATGCTGTAGTAACTGTAAAGTCTAACATGGCATTGTGCAGGTGTAGCACCCATATGTGTGATGCAGAGACTACAATGAAGAACATTTCTCTGTGCAATCAACTTTTCAAATTCTGTCAAATCTCTTACAGTACCTTTTCTTTTCAATTTTGAAACCATTTAAACAAGCCATTGTATATTTTTTTTCCTTCACCCTTTAGTTGTTGCCAAGATTTGCCTCATCCTTGTTGGTCAATCATATCCCCATAAATTATAAAATCATTATTTTTCCTTAAGTATTTTCCATATGCTTGAACTGGGGGACATTGGAGCAGAAATTGGAGAACTAATCTTTTTTTCATGGAAAACCAAATTTTTATTAGGCCATTTCTTAATGGATTATTATTATTTGATATCAAGGCCTGTTTTTATACAATTTGATGTATAAACTATGGTAGCACGTAATTTAAGCTTCAAAATGCCCTACATAAAAACCTAAGACAACAGAACCTAAGGTTTTCCAATTGTGTATCTTTATAGAATTCATGGACACTTCTTTTATTAAAACTAGCACTTAATGTTCACTTGAAATCAACATGAACCACTATTTGTATGAAATACCTGTTTGAAGAGAGCCAAAACATACAAAGGAAACAGTCTGAGAGAATTTGGAGCAATCAGAGCAGATTGTTGGTGGTTCGATGCAGCTGTCATATACGCAGACAGCGAATCTACCACTGCATTCACCAAGGCATCTCTGGCATCTGATAGACTTGATGAAATGGATCGATCCACAGCTATGAAAAGTTAAATAGCAGCAAATAATTATGAAAGAAACCCTATTAAAAGGCAATGAGCAGCATACCAGTGCAATAAGTAATGTGTTGCTAGCATGTTATCATTTCAATAGCTAGCCTCAAAGATATTAATAAAAATGTCATTTGCAGGGTACTAAAGAGATACAGAGCTGAAGGAGACAATAATTTCTGTTAACTGCAGAGAGTGAACTTTTAATTGAAAAAAGATAGCAGACTATAAGTGGCATGTCATAGGTCTTCAGCTAAATCATTTGGCAATGTTTAAAACTATCAGGAGTTTATATAAACAGTTTACATAGCAAGTATTTGCCATGAATAAATTTTCAACTTCTACTTTCATTAGAACGATAAATATATGAATATTTATTTTCAACTCACCCATATTAGCTAAGAGGCATATAATTGCTTGTACATCTGCTCCAGCATACACATCTGTCAGTGAAGTTACCACTGGCAAACAAAGCGTGTGCACCCTAATTCTCCGTTCACCTACATTAGAATAAACAGTACAGTAAGAACAATGCTTGCACTTATCCAAAACATTTGTTATACAGTACATGCCTAAGAAAAAGAATAAGGGCAATATGCATACATTTCACCTCAAAGCAAACACTGCTAGTAAAACCACCACCTTCTGTTTTTTTGCAATTTATTTTGAAAAAAAGAATCATGAGAAATTACTCTATTTCTCTGTAGTTACCTTTACTGGAAGTATATAAAAGTGCTGTCTGAAAACAAACTAATGATGTGTCTGAAAGGCTTTCTTCAATAGACATCTGTACTGCAAATCCAGCATCAGGGTTGACATTGGCAAGGGACAGTAAATCAGTAGATCGCACAAAAAAGTTACCATGAAAAGTGTGAATTGAAAGACCTAAAACAGAAGGGAAATGTTTAGGTTAAAATGGCAAGTGTTGAAAAAGCACAGTGCAATGCTTTCTAAAAAGCTCAGAAATAAGTCCTGCTGAGTTCCATGGGACACATTCCTACTAAGGACACTTATGACGACAGGCCAAGCTTTGAAAAAATTGTTCGCAATCCTACAGAACTCTGTACAACAACAGGACTAGTGTAAGGTTTGAGGGGACCTGGCTATAGATGCCTTTGCCCCTGTGGTTGGTGCCATTTGGTGAGAAACCTCCCCAAAGCAAGCTTACTAGGCAGTGGAGGCTGGCCGAAGTGGGACAAAGGGAGATGAGCCATGGGATTAGGTTGTGGCAGCCTAGCATCAGACACCTGGTAGTCTCTAAGGCCAGCCACAAGAAAAACACCATTGGAGGCTGCAGCAAGTACCACTAAGTTATTTTTTCCAGAATGATTTTGGGGAAGCACTATGGTAACGGCTGCAGCTATAGCATCGTACCCACTGTTTCTCTTCTCAGGACCTAATTTTTAGTTTGAATTAAGAAACAGGCATCAGACAGTGTGGGTCCTTCTTTTTCCAATGTTGCTATTTTGCTACTCAAAACTTTTGCCAAAACTTTTCTAATCAAGCACTTTGCCACAATGTTCTACAAATGAGTTGGCCATTTAATTTTTGAGCCATAATTTGCATAGCATAGATTTGGATTGGGTTGGCTTAGCTGAAAAAACATTGTATATATTCTGGCATGCTTGGATAAGGATAGAAAATCTCTAAATTGTCTAAATTCAATTCTAACACATTTCTTGCATTTTTACCAATATCAGATACATTTAATAATAAAAAGAACCACTAAATGTTGTACCATACCTTTTGTACATCTTATTCTCATGACTGCCTCAAATCCAATCTTTCGTGTAAGGTATCTTTTAAGATCTTTCTGGAGTTTTTCTGCTTGAACAGAGTTGTGGATATGATGGAAAGAGGGGTAGTAATAGATGCATCCAGCAGAATATTTTGACATGCAAGCTTTCAGTGAGGAGAAAACAACAGTTAATATGCATACATTAACAGTTTCATTACATTAAAAAGTATCCATAAACTGAGCACTAGAAGATAACAGTGTTCCTCTGTTTGAAAAATACTCTTTACCACTTTAATAATGACCCAACCATATAAGTTTATTTTTTCAAAATCAATTACAAGTATCAGATGTAAAATATGCAATTTTATTATTAAAGAAGACTTTTTATGAAGCAATGCAAAGAACAGATAAGGAATCTATGTTGATATAATGGATTTCACAGTCATAGTTCCTCTAATGTCTTTTCTCAGACACCTTACTTAGCACATTTTCCTGCAACTTAAAATTTAATACCCATTTACCTTAACTGCAAAATCAACACGAAGTTGCTACTGCCCTTGTGCACTCAACACAACCATAGCTTAATTTCCCTGTGGGGGCTGATGCACTGTCCCAAGTGCCCAGCTATCTGGGGCTTCTGCCATAGAATACTGGGCAGCAGCTGTTGCTTAAGGGTTCTACAACCATCAAATAACTGCTGACTTGTTTAAAAGTTCTTTGAGGGTTGTCTAATGAACTGAGGCTCAGTCCAGACAAGATGGAAGTATTGTTAGTTCGTGACTCACCTAATCCGATGAGTGATTTTTTTTTTTGGGGGGGGGGAGCTACTGCCAAAAGAAGTTAAAGTGGTGGCTGCTAAGAAGATGGTTTTTTCTGATGTGGCACCACAACTTGGAATAAGTTTTCCAGAGATGCTTGTCTGGCACCTCCCACTGTGTTCTTTTCAGCACCAGGTAAAGACCTTATTTTCCCAGGCATTATTTTGGTGTGTTTTAAATCTCTCACTCAATTTTAAATCTTTGCACTGCTGCTAGTATTCATTTTTATTTTTACTGTAGTTTCACATTTTTAAACTTTTATATTTAATTTACTGTTTTGCATATCATGGTTTTAACTGCTGTGAACTCCCAGAGAACTTTGACTACTGGGCAGGACAGGAATGCAATCAAATAATAGAAAAAGGCTTACATAGAAAAGTGTCGTAAAATATTAATGCTCACCAGCCAGCCATGCTGGCTGGACAGTGCTGTAAGTAATGCACAGGATTGTACCCCTAAGCACCAAATCTGAAGTGAATTCACAGAGCTTCTGAATGCCAGTGGAGGTTGACAAATGAATGAGGATAACTATATTTCCCTAAAAGAACATTTCCATGTAAGGCCAAGCAAGGAAAACTGAAGTAGCATGTATCAGTCACTTTTTCTTCTCTCCCAACATCCCTTTACATTTTAAAAATGAGACTTTAAAAATCCAAGCTAAATTGTATTAGTGTACTTCTCTGAAACAAGATAATGGGCAGGCTTAGGTTAAAAAAAGTGCCATTGAAATCTATAGCATCTGTCCTGTAGTATGAATATTAAAGAAGCAACATGATTAGTGAAGTAAGAAAGGGGGAGTGTCCTGCTGGTGCTAGAAGTAAACACAGTCCTTTCCTTCTGAGTCAAATAACAATGAAATTATGCATGTTATGGCAGGTAATCTGGCATGCAACTGCTGTGGATGACAACTCCCAGCACTCCTGCCCATCATCAATGCTGACTGGCTGATAAGAATGGCCCAAAACATCTGGAGGCCACAGCACTGCCTATCCCTGGTATATTTGTTCATCCCATGTTTTTAAAAGTGCATTAATTAAGTGGGATTCACACAACATGCTCCGTTCACACAGCTTAGCCATATTTATGCAGAAGCACAAATTGTAAGAACTAAGCCTCTGGAATCAGATATAGAGGAATGTACTATGATCCATTCAATTAGAACAATTGGTAGTACAGGTGCTGCACGAACTAACCAAAGTACAGAATCTCATGGAAAAATCTCAACACTGTAAAGATTAGGTGTGCCTTATGATATTTCAAAAGCAAGCCTGAGCTATTAGAAGCATGTAAATAAGCAAAAAAGGATTTCTGAACTTTGGGATCTTCCTTGGCACTTGAACAGAATATGAAAAATGCTGCCTTCAAACCCACAATAAACATTGAAGTTATTGTGCAAGTTAATGTCCTTACCAAGAGATGCCATATCTGAATATTGTGAGCTTAAAAGAAACAAATCCACAGCTGTCTGTTGTCCTGAACAATCTAATGCCAATTTTTTATAAAAATCTGTTGCTGGACCAAGATGCTGAACAACCTGAAATAAAAAGTATGGGACTGGGACAATGTTGCAACTAAAATACAAAATATGTTTTTTCTAAATTGCTTACAAATTAAACATATACTATTATGTATAAAATTACAGGATTTAATCTCACAATTTAAACACTAGACCAGTTCATACTTCACCACAATTCAGGCTATTGTGAACAAGCAAGTTGGGATACACTGACAGATTGTTCTTACTATGAATGATAGAGGCTTACAGCCCAAAACATCTATCCCTGGGCTGTTTGTTGTGATTTGCGGAAAACGTGGAATAGAAATCATAGGATACTACTCTGATTGGCTGGATGAGAGAAGAGCTAGATTTCCTGGTTGTGCACAACAAATGAACCATGGACGGATCTGGTCATTCCCGTTCATAACAGGAGCAATCAGGGTTACAACAACCCAGGGTTTAAAAACAAAATGCAACACCTGGGTTGTTGTAATGTGCTAACATGCCACTGTCAGGTACTATAGCTAAGGTTATCAAGTATGTGGGTATTTGGAATGCTTTCCTTTTCCAGTCATACCATTTGTGGTGAACATATCTGCAGGAAAATGATCAGCATTATGATAAAAAAAGCATTTGTTCTGTAAAAGTCACACTAGTATTAACTCAGTTCTGCTAAAAGAGATGTATGAAATACTGACTTTATTCTTTTTGAATAGTTTTAACTAATTCAATAAACCTGTACCATCATGTACAAAACAAAATATTAATATAGTGTACTGTTAAAGAGTGTTCTGTGAGATTTCTAATGTTAACAAAGCTTGAGAGTTAACATTAAAAAATTATACTAGGAATTTGGTTCATCAATTCATGAGATTCTTAGCACAACGATAAAGGCCAAGATAAGAAGAAATGAATTAAAATATTATTATTATTATTTTCCAGAAACCTCACAGAAGCATCCAAATTCTGTGAAAATATAATTCAAATAACACCTGAGAAATTAAACAGCCTTTAAAACTATAACTATAAATACTATAGCTATAAAAACTATAACTGAGAACATGTTCTGCACACACAAAACACAATTTAAACAGTTAAACAAATGTTTGCTAATTTTGCAAAGTCAATTCTACTTTTGGAAATTCTAGTAAAGGACAAAGAATTACAGAAATCCATGAGGCCATTCCTAGTTTTCTGACATATTAGTAAGTACTGCATACATACTTTCAAGCCTATGTTTATATACAGAAGGCTCAACTCTAGTTTTGCTGAAACAGAAACTGAAATTCTTCAGCCAAAACCTATTTTATACAACAGATACAGCTCAGTTTTATTAGCTACATAGTTGCCCTGAAGTTCAAAGTACCTTTGTGCTTGATCTTTGATTGGGATCTTCCCTAGACTGCAAGCATCCTGATCCCAAGGATGGTAACTGCGTCTGAAACACAGATATGCGGCCACCCGTTGGAGACATCAATTTATAGGCCGCTTGAAGGGCTGGGCCTAATGCACTGTGTGTTTCTCTTGTGTTGGTGAACATATTTGGTAGCGCACTCAATAATTCTTTAATTAGCTGGAAAACAGATAAATAGCATTAGGTATGAAAAATGCATGGTTTATTCCCGTTCTTCCTCCTTAGTCCCATTTGCAACTGTAGAAATATGTATTATGCAACCACTTCAGATTCTGAGATTTCTGTGCATCACCTACACAACTTAAAACTTATCTTTGTAGCCATCAGGACTAAAACTTGATTGTTCTAAAATGAAAGCCATGTCGCTTGGAAAGATAAAAGGATTTTGTGCCCACAGCCACATTCTGTCTTTTTCTCTTTTCCTCTATAACCATAGAGGTTGTATGGACAACACATAAGACAGTCATGAACATAGAGTTTATTTATTTCCAGCAAGCTACTCTCTTTCATTTCTGCCTGTGGTTCTCTTTCAAATGGGCAGCATTGCAATTTTCACTGACCAAAGGTTACACTCCAGGTCATTCCACTCTATCTGGATATATCCCTTCTGAGGTACTAAGGCTGACCACTGCTTTCACCCTGAAAAGAATCTATGTTTAAAATACAATCCCAAAGAGAGCAGAAGCATTATTTTATCCGCTCAATCAGTCCTTGTCTCTCTGAATCATACTATGCCATAGGGAGCAAAACTAAACTGGAAGCTGGAATCAGGCCTAAGGTTGTTATTAAGTCTTAGCACCCCATTTCTAAATCAATTGGTTTAATCAAGAACAAAGCAGTTAGGAAGCAAAATTTCTTCATTTTGGCTTTTAATTAAACTGTAAATTGTCATTGGATTTTGATCCACCTTACCTCTTTACTTTCATGCAGATTAACTAATAGGCTATCAGGTAAAGGCAGGAAAACATCTATGGAGAAAACATATCTTAGTTTTGAACTACTATTTGAACACAAAGTACTTTCAAAAGACCATTCATACATACTTGCATGTGCAAAGACTTCCATGGATTAGAAAACAGAACTTCTGTAGAAACATAATGTAACAGCTGTTTTAACTTTCTAGCTGCAACCCTTCATGCTGGCAGCACAATCAATATGCAGTGATTGGCCTTCACTTTATCTTGCAGGCCTGAACTACAGACAGACCACATTGGCCAGTTCTATAGGCCTAGCACACAATGTACTACTCTTCTCCATTTACCATGCATACATTAAGAGCACTTAAGTTGTTTCAGTTCATGACTTCAGTTACTACCCTTTGAAAAACTTTCAATATCCCAAAGTATTAAACAACCTATCAAAGATAATCATATCTCCCAAATTAAATCTCTCAATTTTATTCTATCAATTTCTGAGAAACTAACTACCTTACCTTCGATTTCTGAGACAATTAGCATCTGTGGCTGAGATAATCCTTCCTGCAAGTTATAGAACTGAACAGTGCTGTCAAATGTTATGAAACCTATCCTTGTTCTTGAATCTCCAGGCAACCTTAAAAAGAAAAACAATCCTGAGACATTTAGCACACGTGTATTATTGAGTCTCTAATTTTAGAAAAAGGTGATTAACAGACTGTTGTTGATGCCCAAAGACAGGGTACTTCCCAAATGTGTACAGCCTAGAGCAGTTCTGTACCTCTCTTTATCTATGAAGCCTCATGTGGCTGGCTCTCGCTCATTTCACCTCCCATCTCTCAACAGTCAACTGCAGCAAAGTGGAAAGCAGTGGGAGAAGGACAGGAGACATTCAAGCTCTCGTGAACAGTCAGCTCATTCAATTGCCACTTCCTTGGTGACTACCCACAAGGGGCAGACCTATAAGTTGGATTGCATGACATGGGTAAATTTACCAATAAGGGCTATACTCTTGAGCTGAGCACTGTGAGGACCATTTCTTCATGAAGCCAGCAGCAGCCCGGTTTGCTGTGTCTCCCTGTGCAATACAAATCCTGGTCGTGGAGTAGTCTGAGGGTTAGGAATCCCTCAAATAACTCTAAAAAAAGGCATGGGCTATTGAAGGGCTGTTTAACTCTTAGTGATGTGCAGCACTGGGAAAAATTTAGCAATCAGAAATGGATCATGCCAGATTTTTATGTTTGAATTCCAGAAAAGTTTTTGAAATAGCGGCACACAGTGAAAACCAGGATCTGTGTATCTGTAGCACCATTTGTACAAACATTGATTTGCACAAAAATTTCCTTTTCTAATTGGCTACTTGGTTAGTCGGACGTATTTCCTACTTCACTTGTCACTGGCAATTTCAACCTGTTTGGCATCAGCTCTAGAATTACCTTTGAAGGTTACATGATTTGTACACATCAAATAGCCTTATTTTAATGATTATTTTCAGTTTTTAAAAGCTCCTATACAGTTGCGGGGTGTTGTCTCTTTCCTGCTCTTCTAATTTTTCATACTATTATTTGTACAGTATTTGATTTCTTTCAGTCATGCTTATGTTCCAACAAATACTGTTTATTATGTTCATTTGTTTATTATTAAAATACTGCTTGTGATTTTTGTTTTAGTTTTAGCAACAAATTATGTCCCAGTGATGGTGAGCCACCTGGCTCAAGTCATATTTGAAAGGCTCAAATGCTGGCAACAATGAGAAGTGAATGAATTCTGAGCTCCGAACTTCCTGAGCTTTTTTATTTTTATTTTTTAAAAAATTGTACAAATTGCTGCCCATTTTAAAGCAGAAATCTTCATGTTGCCATGACTTGCCAAATGGATTCCTTGCACATTTCTACCAATTCTTAAATCTTACATGATGCCCCTTGGTCTTTTCCTCCTGCAACCACATTCCTCCAGATTTAGCCAAATATTTGCTACCACCATTTGAATGCTGATCACACAGTAATTGTATTTTTTTTAAATAGCTATAAAGGTAAAGGTTTCCCCTTGACGTTAAGTCCAGTCATGCCTGACACTAGGGAGTGGTGCTCATCTCCGTTTCCTAGCCAAGGGAGCCAGTGTTTGTCCGCAGACAGTCTCCGTGGTCATGTGGCCGGCATGACTAAACACCGAAGTGCACGGAATGCTGTTACCTTCCCACCGAAGTGGTACCTTTTTATCTACTTGCATTTGCATGCTTTTGAACTGCAAGGTTGGCAGTAGCTGGGATGGAGCAATGGGAACTCACTCCGTTGTGCAGATTTGAACCGGCGACATTTCGATAAACCAGCCCAGCAGCACAGCAGTTTAAACCACTGTGCCACCTGCAATCCCTCAAAAAATAGTTATAGAATTCAATTATTCTAAACACTGGAGTTTTCTTCCACTTGGATGACTCAAATACTGTGTAGACACACTGTGTTTTTTGTTAAAGATCTTAACATTTGTTGTTTGGGCGCATGTGAATGATTAGACATAAGTAGAAAAAATCATGCAGTAACAATCCAACAAATCTTTTAAAAGGGGATCTGGCAACAGGGGCACAAAAGGAAGCACAAAGCATTATCAGGGGAACAAAGCTTACAATAGATGATGCAGTAATTATTGCTGTATCCAGCTCATATATGCACACAACAAAAACAAGAAGGCTCTTACTTGTCTAAGTTTTCCAGCAAAGACTGACAGACAATTGATAAATATCCAGCTTCTACTGCATTGTGGGACACATCAAACACAAACAAATACACTGCAGGTTGAGGAGGGCGAAGCTGTAAAATAAAACATATTTTTAAACTTACTGACAAGATCCTTTATATTCTCTTTTTATAACCAAGCTTTGTGCAAATGGCCTCTCAAAAAAGCCCCTAGTTATGGGCAATAAAAAGGCAAAGAAAAATTCCCCAATGGCTTCTCACAGGTAGGGTTCATCTTTGGCAGTTATTTCACAGCTCCTGTTTTTTCAAAGGGTTTTTGATTTTTTTGTGCTGTTACTGCAAGTGACAACTGTGTTGGCAGTCGAGACCCCATGTTGCATCCTCCACGATACAGCTGTGGCTGCCTGTATGAAACCAGCCCCCAATATCCTGAACATTTTCTTGCCCATGAAAAAGGCTTCTATTACTCTGTGTCATTCTCAAGGAGTTTTACAATTTATTTTGAATTTCTTTTGGTGGCAATATTTGGTATTATGCAATCACTGTGAGGTGGCAGAGGCTGCTGTGTTCTTTTCTTTCACATCTGTCCACTACTCTGCACCCCTGCATGCTGCCTGTGCTTCCTGATCTGAAAGTCCTATGGGAGGAATACCACATGATATCCTCTTCTTGGTTTTCAACTGAAGGGAGGAAAGCAAAGGCAGCTACAGGCTGCCAAAGAAATGAAATAGAGGACACTGGTACATGGTCCTCAGCCACCTCCTAAGTAAGGAAAGCTCAAAAATAATGGTAAAACCTATGGCTATCTGTAAATGTTCAACTGAAAGGAAACAGTAAAAAATGTGGAAGAACTTTTGGCATAACACTGATTTATAGGCATGACCTGTTTGAACTGCTGTTGTATGTTCCTGGGACCACTACTTTTTACATCAACACAGGCCCTTTACAAAGAAAATAAAGGGGTTGAAAGGAAAGATGTAGACATAAATTCTCAACTCCCTCCATTTGCAAACAAACAATACCCCCCAAATTACATGAGTATTTATGTTAACCAAATGATTCAAAAGCATGTACTCACCATGTAGTCTGAAGAAGCAATAAACTCTACTGTAGAGTTTTGGACTTCTGGTCGCTTGTGAGGCTCTCCATAGGATCGTGTCAGAGGATTATACATAAATTCTTCAGGAACTAAACCATCATAGAAAAAAGTGCATCATTCATGGTCAAATGTACAGATTACATGTCTGGTAACATGTCCAATGACATGCGTGGAACAAACAGTTAATGTACTCTAAGGGGAATGCACCAGCCTGCATCTGGGATCTGCCTGCCTTGCAGCAGCAGGAAAAGAATTAGGTGTTTTCACAAGGTAAGCTTCAGTAACCTCACTGAGCACAGCCTCCTCACACATCCCTTAAAAATGGCAGTTTCATAAATACTTACCATCGTTAACTCTGTAGCACAGGTTACACTTCCACCTTCTTTGGTCAATAAAAGAAACAAATGGGTTGATGTATGTCCTGCAAGATCGACATCTCACAATGGTGTTTGATGTTATCACAGGTAATTGCTACAGAATAAAGAAATTTGTTGCGTATAAATTTGAAGGAGAACTTCATACAATGTGTGAAACTGACTGCCTGTCCCTCAAAACCTTAAGCTGTCAACCACAAATCCAAGCCTTTCACTATTCAAATAATTATTAAATTAATTGCAATCAAGAAAGCTAGAATAGTGGAAGGTACCATCTGGTGCAAATATCTGTAGACCTGCAGACTTGGAAGATTACAGGAATCCAACGTGAGGCAGGAGGAGCACAAAGGCTACAATTGCCTCTATGTTCCCCTCACTCGCTAACACATTTAAATAGCCAATTTCAGCAATCAAAACATTCTTATTCTCCTCATGAGAAAAGGCTGAGGCACTGCCAGGATTCGTTGGAAGACAACAATGGTTCATTCCTCCCTACCCCAACCCTAGGCAAGGGCTCCAATCCCAGTGAACACAGAAAGAACTGCATCAGCTGCAAAGACAGAGGAAGGGCCCTCCAAATTAGTATGTTTTCCAAAGGTTGATGGTCCAGCCTGTTCTGACATTCTCTGGGGGATAAGGTGATAGATGGCCATAGGATATGCTCTTGGCCACTGGCAATCAGGTTATAAAGGATACCAATGTACATCAATTTATTCTGAGGTTATCTTTTCTGAATCTATGTTCCTTGCACATAAGTAAATATCTAAGTAAAACAGTAACAACAATCTGCTGAACATATTTTTCTTTCTTATTTCCTATATTGTGCTTTGGTTTCATGATGAGTGATTCACAATTATATAATACAACTTCAGTTTTTATCATCTTATATACTTTATACTTTAAAGTCTAATATTTGATCAATTAATTTAACTTTGGCTAATAAAAACGTGTGAATAATTAAAACAGTCATTTTACCGTTAGATCCCTGAAGGGATGTAGAAGCAACCCCAAAGGAAGTTTTGCTTTATTTAGTAATGCCTGAGTCTGTGGAATATTTGTCAATGTACAGCGAAATGAGCTAAGAGAAAAATCATTAATGTTAATTTCAAAGGTCATGATTGATAATATCATTTGTTGTACAAAAAAACCCTAAGGGCTCAAGGGTTACCATGTTATCCAAGTAACCAGAGCTGACTACCAAATAATTCTACATGACAGAAAGTATTCAGGTACATAAAGCGAAATTCAAGACTTGAACTACTCATTCACTAACAGTTCTTCAATGGAACAAGTAATGCAACCATCCATCCCTTTCCAAATAAATTCTTCCCCACGCCCAGCATGAAACACTCTAAGCTCATAGTTTTTCATCCTTAAAAGCATCTCTAATGGACAGAACAGTTAGTGTCAACATGCATTTTCAGGGATGCATTCTAACAGGAAAAGCCCCAGTTGCCAAGCACTTTCACTTTCTAACATGTCACAATGATCAAGACAAAATTTGAAGGTTGCAAAGAGTTGGAATGGTTACTAAATCCATACCAAAGCCATTCAGCTTTGTATGTTAACCATGCAAAGGAATACAGTGACCCTGTCATACAACATGTGCCACACCCATGGGTCAAATATTATTACCAAGTCAGTTCAGGCCACCTATTCCAGCTGTTCTGGAAAAAGATTACAATTATTTCACATCCTGGTTACTGTATTATCTTTTAAGAATCAAAATGCTGCAAAATCATATAGTTCTCCAGTTAATTTCACTCTGGACTTATTCCTTAAACCTGAATTAGCAACCAGGTTTTGAGCTGAAAATTCAAAAAAATCAAATGGGTTTTGTGAATGTTGTCTGTAACAATTACTATGAGTCAGATGCTGATGAAGATGCTCTGGCAAACTATGGTTTATCAATTCCAAGAAATCAAGGGCACAAAGCATATGAACCTGAAGGTCAGGTCCATTAGACAAACCATTGTCAACCCATCTGCTATTTGTTTCTGCTATACAAATGTAATATTAATTTCGACAAATAAGAATGGAATTTCTTTTTGTTTGGGAAAAATGTTTTTAAAATATTATTATGAAATCAGGGCATCAGTTAGGGACATTTCCCCACACAGGTGCTAATAAAACCAGCACTGGTAAAACAATTAGCATGCCTAAGACTGGAAGTTTTATACCTACTCTGGGCTGCAGTTCAATTTCTTCAGGTCTGAGTTCAAATTAGGCACAGGAGGTGGAACAGGACCAATAGGCAGAATATTTCTATCTTGAGTAAGGTTGACAGGTCTCAGGCTTTCTGGCTGCTGTATACCTAGTCCTCCAAGGCTAGCTGACAGTTGATTCATTGTAGGATATTGCTGGAAAATAAATTTTCAAGTAAACATTTACTCTATGGCATTAGTATCTTAATCAGAATCTACTTAGTCAACTCTGCTCATCCATCTCTAGTAATGTTTAATTTTAGTAAATTCAACTCCTCACAGGGTTCCAGACTCACAATACACTATCCCTTCTTCTATCCTGCATTTTGTGAGGGTTCACATGATAAGACACTGTGGTTTTCTACCACTGTTTGTCTGTTATGTCATCCAAACACTGTTGCAGTTTTTCAGTACAGTATGTCTGATTTTTAGAAACCATGGACAGAAACAACAGTCTGCTCTATGGTTTCTTGGTAGTGCCATGGTTTGTGGTGTTATCCGAATTCAGCCAACACAAACCATAATGGGACAAAGATTAGACCCAGATTGCTGCTGCCCATTGTTGCTCTTGCCAAGTGGCTAACCAGAGAGTGCCACTGACAGCTGTCATTCTGCATTACTGCTCTGTCTGCTTCCTGCCCCAAAGATCTTTTCTTGAGCAGGAGTAGACAATCAGCTGGCTAGTGTTGCAGAAAGGAGAAGCACCAGTCAATCGATTCCCCTGCTGCACACCTGAAAAAAGCCCCACACTAGTAGGAGGGGTGAGAATCAGCTGGACAGTGATGCCCAGTATGGAATGGTGCCACTCAGCTGATTCCCCTGCCACCCCCTCCCCAACTGCATGCCTGAGAGAAGCTCCTCAGGCATATAATCAGAAAGAACAAGGATCAGCTGGGTGGTATGCTTGGTTGGGAGATGCGCCACTCAGGTGATTCCCCCACTGCCCTCCTCATGCATACGCAGGAAGCCCCTCACATGCATGACTGGTTGGGGCGATGACCCTTCTCCAGGTACACTGGGGACAGCACAAGGGGAATCAACCACACCCAGCCTGGTACTACAACCTAGCCAATTCTTCCCATTCATGTATTCAAGGTGCTCTCCACAGGTGCAACTGTGGGTGGCAGCAGAAAAATCAGCTGGGTGGCACTGGCCCTTTCCTCAGAACTGCCCAGACGATTCCCACCCACTTTTACCTGAGCATGAATCGGGCACACACATACGTACACAAACCTTGCTCCAGCAGTACTCTCTGGAGCAGGAGATGAGGGTACCTGATCAGTTCATGCATCCTCTTTGCTGCACTTCAGGGCATGGGTCCTGTTTGTGCAGCAGAGACTGCATGACAGCCGTAATGACCTGAACTTGCCTTCACTAGCATAAAGCCTATCACCTAATTGCTCCCATCCCACTACAGCCCCTGAGCCACACTCCAAACTTTGGGATCACAAGCCCATTCAAAGTATGGCTTTTCAAGGGACCTGAGACAAAGACAATCTCTTGCTACTGTGAAAGCAAAACCATAGACAACAGAGAAAATCTAATAGTCCTTTTGTTTTAATTGAAGTACAAAGAAAATTAATAGGCTGAATTTAAAATATTAGAATGAAACCTCTTACTCATATGTAACTAGGTTTCAATGCTCTCTCATTCACTGTGTCACAAACTATATTAAGCACACCGAGTTTTGATTTGATGGATTTATTCTTCTCTGACCTGTGGATATTGAGGAAATCCAGAATTATATGCAGAATTACTGGGCTCTGTGGCAGGAGGTGGTAGAGACGGTGTTACATTCTGGTAGCCAGGCTGTAGAGTGGGATATCCATAGCCAAATGGCTTAGACATTTTAGATGTCTGGGGGACTGATGGAGCAGGAGCTGGACTACTTGTTGCAGAACATGCATCTAAATAGGACAAAAAAATTTTAAAACATGTTCTTCAAAACAGCAAGTATTGCAATGAAAGCAGGTGAATATGAGGGTGAATGATGCTTCCTGACATTAATAAAGTAGTAACTTGGACTTAAGCTTAAATATCTGGTTGAAGTGTATCTACCATTTATCAGTATTTAATACAAAACAATAAAATTAATATGAACACAATCCATAAGTAAAAGCGCATTAGTATGTTTAGTGCCATCCAGGTTTTAAATATTAAACAAATTTCAGATTATTCTTAAACAGAATAGTATGTTAGCAGAAAATAAATCATTAAGGTATTATATAAGCCTTCTCACATACTTTAACACTCTGAAGTAAATGCAATGGAGTTAGCTTGTAAATTGAGTATGCTTGCTTGCAACCTTGGCAGAATTAGCCAGTAAGTCAGTTCATCAGAGGTGAATCTGAACCCTTAGGAAATAATATCTAGAAATACCTGTAACATAAATAGCCATTCATTTTGTATATCTGAGTTGTATAAATGTTTTATTTATCTAATTCATTTTAATACTTCCCAATAGCCAAGTAGCCAAGGCATTCTTTTAGTGAGGTGCTCTCTCACACATACACACACACCACACGGTGTTAATATTAAAATGTTAAAACGCAATTCACCTGGATAGCCACCGCCTTCAAGGGTATCATAATTGTTCAGAACAGGAGATGCACTGCTGGTAGTGGAAGAGCTGTCAATAGCTAGAATGAAAACATATTCACATGTATTTATTCAACAGGTAATAGGTGACACGGCATGCTGTGACAGATGTTTCTAAGTATCTGTTAGGAAACTGCAAGGGTCTATAAGAAATGGCATATTTTACCAGTAACATCTAATGTTAACCAAAGGTAGGATTTTAGTTTTCTCACTTGTACACAAGAGCTGCCAGTCTGCACAGCTACACTAGCACCTATTCCAAATAAATGAAAAAAAGTTTGAAAGCACAAAACCAGATTTTTTTTAAACTAGGCTGGAAAATTTTTGTGGTTACAGTTTATTCTTGCATTTAAAGTTCCATGCTCCTGTATTCATTTGATTGCTCACTCATTCACTCACTCCCCTGCTCTCCCTCCTCTCTCACACACACCATTATATATATATAGTGAGAGAGAGAGAGATTACAGAGAATATGATTTGAAACTTTTAATGCAAGAATAAACTTATGACATCTCATTCAATTATTTCAAACCTAGAAGAAAGTATTGGCAAATCTGGAAAAACATAAGACTCTAGGCTGGTACATGTGTATTTATAAGACAGGATATTCCAAGCATCTACTGCCAGAGCTCCGCTTAGTGCAAATTCACTTGCTTCCATTTCTAGTCAGTCACAACACCCTCCTTCAGGAATACAAGTTGCTTGGACATTGTTGCTAAATTCATTCATTCAAGATTTTCATTATACTCAGAAGTATGTATACCAGAGCATGGTACACACACACGGTTCCCTTTATCCAGTGGAAGGAACTTTGTGCTTTGGAGAAAGGGAAGCTTTAGATCAAAGCAATGTCTTGCAGCTAACTTAAACAGGAAAGCATGAACAAGTGCAGAGAAGAAAAAACCCTTTATTACATCACTGAAATCCTCAAAACTGCCAGAAGATTGATACAATTCTCTACAGTAAAGATACTACCTGCCATTCACCGCTTACATTTTAGCAAAATTGGGCACCAACTTCAAAGAAGTTAAGAAAATCTCAATATTCTGGTCAGCAATATTCCAAATCTTATATCTGGCTCTTAATCTACCTTTGGAAGAAGCCCAAAGTTAAATTTATCTCAAAACTAATAAATATCATAATTTCCACTATGTTTTTGGTATACTAGAAAACTTATTGCATTGTGTTCTCCAACTCTACAGATGGTTTTAAGCATTCAACATAGACTGCCACGTTTACTTCAAATAGTTCTTTGTTTTCTATGAAATGTGGAAACAGCTTCTCTAATTCATTTCTGTTTTTACTCAATCCTCCAAAAGTTCCAGCAGCAAAAAAGCAGGGAGAGGGGGGAAAAGAGAAAGGGAGAAGAGATTGAAAATCAATCAATAAGCTGTCACCAATAAATGTGACTCAAAGAATAAAGAGCAGTATGTTTTTCTTAATACTCCTGACTCACAACAGCTTGAGTCTACCCTCATCTGCGATGTTTAAGAGACTGAATGCTTCTGAAAAAGCCCTGGACAACCTTTATTTGCATCAAGCTTTTAATCTGCTTCAAATAGATTACAAAGATGGACCAACTGCACTGCCTAAACAATGTAACATCCCTCAAGAAAAACTTTCAAGTCACATGAACATGCAGAACCAATTAATCTGTATTACTGAGGCATTTTATATAAGAAAATAAGAGAATGGAAAAAGATAAGATCTTCTTACTATACTGGAGTGAAAAATGAATTTGTGGGGATTGATACATTAATAATGTAACATGAATTTAAAATTAAGTTCAACAGTGTCACAGGAAGGGATGCTTCCAGGTTATTAGCAGGTATATCTGTGTTTGCTGTTGGTACTATTCCCTTATTCTATCTGAGTCCACATAAGTAGAAGCAGTTTAACAGTACAACCAATTTTTTAAATACTTTTAATTTTTATCCTGTGGTATCAATGATTTTTTTAAAGGAAGATTTTGAAGTAACATGTTTACTTCTGAAAGTACTGGTAATAAGACAACCAGTAATTTCAGCAGTAAGCATGTCATTTTTAAATATTCATTTTTAAGAAGTGTTTGTATACCACAACGTAAGGTATATAACTGTGGAAACTGAAAGTTTAAACACCCTTTGGTTTCAAGCATCTCCAGGTACTTTATTTTTAATTTAAAAACTTTGCTTAAACAAATTGAGTCTGAAATAATGTGTGCACTGCATACATACTAATTACAACACAAAATGTACCACATGAAATGTACTGGCAAGCCCATTACCATGTATGTATAACAGTCTGTCTACACAAGATGACAAAAGTGACTGGCCTCAGAAGGTATTTCTATAATCATGTCTTTTGGTTTTCTGTAACTTTCTCTTATCTGAAAAATGTGAAATTATTCTGGCAGGTTTAGTGATAAAAGGAGAGTTATGTGCAATTTTTATGTTTACAGCAAAGACAATAACATATTGTCAACAGGATAACAGTTCAATAGGATAACATAGCGTAATGGCAATATTATCATGTGCTGGAAGCTATGACAAGTTTCTTAGAAGATTCCAAACTGATCATATATATTGTCCATGCCCATGACTCTTATTAAGGAAAAGAGGTACACAATCCTAGGACTTATTTCTTACCTAGAAATAAGTCTCTATGAATTAAATGGCATTTACTTCTGAGTAGACATTTATAGGATTAGACTATCTCTTAGTGAAAACCGTTCTATTCCTCTTCTTCAATTATCGTTAATTATGAAGCTCAACTTCATTTTTGTCTTGAATTAGGTAGATAATCCCAGAAACTGGTTAACTTGCTTTATGCACTTTTGTTCAAGAAGTGGAATAATGCCATCAAAACTGAGCATGAAAAGTGAGAAATACTGGCGCAAAGCTAAAGCAGACCTGCTTCCTCATCCTCCTCATCCTCTTCCTCATCATCTGAACTTGATGACAAGGGAGTTGCTGGAGAGCTAGCTTGATTATTAACATATCCACCATACTGCATGCCTGTGAAGTGGAAAGCATAAACACAAGAATCAAACACACACAAAAGCAAGAAATTGAAAGCACAAATCAGAGCATTAAAAGTGACACCAAAATCAGGCATTGCAAAGGACATCTTAACATGAAAAGTGAGTGAATTACCCCATCAATACAAGAAAAGCTTTATCTTTACAGAAGTTTAGCAGGCATTTTTAAAAGCTGTGGTTTGGTTAAGTATTAGTAGCGGACAAAGAAATTAGTAGGATTAGAAAAAACACAATTTATCCACCAGATGATTAAGAGAAAGTCACACAGGTGTTCTAACCTTCAACTTAGGTTGTAAAATAATAATTGTTCTTTTATGGGTAATACTACATCCCTGAAAACCACATTCTTATACTTTGTAGAGCAGCCAGCATCCCTTCCCCACTCACTGCCATCACACCTGACATAGAAGCATTTCCCCCTCTTGTTACTCTTGGCCATGAAGCTAGCACCTTTGCCTCTGAAGCTTTCTCAACTGAGACCCACACAAGCAAAGGCTTATCGAGAGAAATCTTATGGATGGGGGTAGTGAATGAGACCTTTATAACTGAAACAGACTCCCTAGTGTCATCTTCTGCAGCTATTGCTCTTTTGCTGGGAGGACACTAATAAGCTTTTATGCGTTCGCAAAGGGCAGCACAAAGACATGAAATGCCATGGTGACACAACTTTGCATTTTGCCAGAGGGAATGCTATCTTGAAAAATCCTGAAAAAGTAAGATGCGTAGATGGCCATCAACTTGAAGAAATCTGATTGAACTCTTACCCTAAAGCTGCATCTGCTCAAACCTGTCCCGGCAACTCCTGCAATCAGAAATTGTACTGGAGTAACAAATTATCCCTTAACAAGGCACTGAGGCAAGTTGTTAGCACATATGGAAAGACTTATTTACACCTAGAATCACATACTGCCCTTTGCAGATTTCATTTCAACCACTTACAATAACCTTTTATAAGTTCCCTGCCAGTGATGATACTCCAATAGGACTAAGTTAGAGAAACACTTGCCTCTTAAATATTATGGAAAATGTTCATGTGATGCTAGAGATTACACCATACATGAGCTGAAAATTGTAAGAGATCTTATTAAAAATCTGTTTGGGATATATTTTAAATAAGTGGTTCTTTTTGACCCCAGCAGTGAAGAATGTTAATTACATATGGACAAACATACATTTCACTAGTCAATGTTAGAATGTACATTTGATGTAAATTTCCAAAGGGAAAATAACAATGAGTTATTTTCAATAATCTATACTTAATAGACAATATAGACAAGTATATGTACTTGTTAAAACATAGGCTATATATAGCAAAAGCGATCACATGAATCAATTATCAAAAGTCAACTAGAAAAAAGTGGGATCTTTTCACAAATCCATTTCCACTCACAGAAATGGAATTGTTCACATTTAAGTTTTTCATGTTGGGGTAGTGCTTATAAATATCTATTAAAACATGCTTTGGGGAATGCCTGCTGTCATTAAAGGTTCAAGTTGTATATCAAATTTTGAAGCTCTCTACCCTTGAAAAAATAACCATGAGAGAAACCTATCCATGATCTAGAAAGTTAAATCCAAGCTACTGCTTTTACACATAGCAGACAAACTCTCCATTATCCAACTCTCTGATATTCCCTAGGTTCAACAGAAGACCTTCTGTTGCCAATCAGACTACATTCAGTAAAAGCTACACGTGAATATATATGTAAAAGTCACATTATGGAAATGCACTGCAGCTAGACAGGATTAAGGTCACAATTCTATAATCAATGATGCTTACTCAGTGTAACTCGATGACATTTGGTTTTGAGCAAGCAACCAGGCTGATTAGATAGAGGTGTAGGGCACACAAGGATAGATAAGTTTCTTGGACTCTAACCAGTTTTCTGCAAAGAATTCAGTATTAGCTATATTTCCAAATCATTCTAGTATTTTAATCTACACTGACTACCTTAGATGAACTTTACAGCTAATATCTGAACTATTTACATTCAAATCATGATGGTATTATATGTGAAAAACAGATCACTTCTTGATATCAGCTTTGGAATCTTCCCGAATGAGCTCCACACATACACAGAGAGTCCACTTGTGAGACCACAAAGAAGAACCACTTCCTCCCCTTTCACTTGAGAATTTTATTGAATTGTTGAGAGCCATTTTGGCTAAAGGGGGAGTACAGAAATCTAACAATAAATAAATTTAATAAATATTATATAAGATTTATGTCAGTGAAATACAAATTCATCTCAGAACCAATGAAACAGATGAATGGAACAAATAGATAGAGAAAGCAAAACTGAAGGAATGATGAAATAGTGAAAGAAGGTGTTCGTTTGATGGCCTGCCTTTTTTTTTTCTTTTCAAGGAACTCAAGGAAGCTTACATAATTCTCTTCCTCCTCTCAATCTTATCCTCACAACAATCCCATGAGGTAGGTTGGGCTGAGAGTCTGTGACTGCTTCAAAGTCACCCATTTAGCTTCACAGCTGAATGGGACTAAAACCCAGATATCCTGAGTCCCATTCCCAAAGTTTTAACAACTATACCACACTGGCTCTAATGAAACAAACGAGCAGCTGTTAGCATATCATACATAGTTTTTGGGTTACTAAACGTAATTAGTGCCAATAATTTTTAATAATTTTGTTTCTTTCTTAAAGCAATATAAAGAAAATACATAATACAGTTTTTAAATTTTAAAGTATTCCAATTAAAATATCTCATAATATAACATTTAAATCAAATAAAAGTTCAATCTAATGAATCTGCTGGGACCCTCCGCCCCAACACACTGTGATGACTATGCCAGTGACTTTGCAAATAGAACTGCTCATATTATATTATACTTTTTTTCCTTGGGAGTTAAAAAACTGAACAGTTAAGATCAAGCAGCAGAGTGTTGCCCCTGTTTGAAAAGTTTGCATTCCTAGTCAACTACAGTCATTAATGCTTTTTTGAGGAGGTAAGGCATCAGATATCCAACTTAGCTCGGTGACCATTATGGTCAGCCATCACTTCTTTCCTCACGTAAGTCGTCCAAACTCAAAGCTTTCAGCAGATTCGATGAGTCTATAAGCCTAGAAAACTATGGAACGTGCTCCCCAGAAAGGTCCGCCTGGCACCATCATTATATGTTTTTCGGCACCAGGTCAAGACCTTTTTATTTAATCAATATTTTAATATCTATTAATAGTAATTGGATTTTATTGTTTGTATTTTATTAATTACAGCCAGCGTGGAATAGTCTATTTATTTATTTTATTCTGATTTATGTTGTAAGCATCCAGAGATGCAAGTAATGGGCGGCATACAAATTTTATAAATAAATAAATAATGAATAAATAGGAAACTATCTTGGTTTAGAAAGCTATAGACCTCTTTCTTATTCAAAACTATGAAACTTTACAACCAAGTTACACTGTAACTGTGTATGACACCTTGGGTATCTCTGAAAGGATAGATGACTTACAAATAAACAGAATACAAAACATTGCCTTAATGTCTGCCTTAGCTGGTGCATAATGCCAGACAATAGGAATGCTTTATACCAGTTTCCAACATATGCACTGGTTCCCATCTGCCTTTCAGTATTGACAGATTAATAAAACAATAAACAATTGGGCCAATGTAACGGTAATGCCACCTCCACCCCAATGTTTTGCCCATGGTGCCCCGACATACCATCACATTCTCAAAAATCAACACAGACTGACAGCTACAGACAAAGTTATAGCTTACTAGTTAGATAGACTTGTTGGTAGCTCATTTTCAATGATGAAAAACCCTTTCCTTAAAAACTTATCAGCATCTGAGTGTAATTATTTTCATAAAGCACTGGATTTTGATAGAAGGGCTACAAACTGCATACTGAGCTTCTAGTGACACATATGCCAGGTCATTAAATCATTTTTTCTGAGCACTGGAATGCCCTTAGACAAGCAGAAACAGAAATTTTGCTGTTAGTCTTGGAGCTACCATTGAAGGCCCACATTCTGTGAAGGCTATTGATTTCTGATCTTCCTATTATCTTTCTCTGTAAATTTACTCATATTATCACTTCATTGGATTTACAAAATACTCCTACTTGGAAAGTTTGATTCTGACTCCTACCACAGGAAGAGTTGATCAGAAAGGTTTAATTTTGACTTCTTCACAAAGAAGAAGCTGTCTTGCAAATATCTTTCCCTTGATATAGAAGCAGAATCAGTCATCTGTTTGAACTGAGAAATTAATCAGAGTAATTTAGATGCTTTCATGGGCCAATCTGTATGAAAGCGTGTGTGTGTGTGTTCTCTCTCTCTTGTATAAGAAGGGATGTGTGTGTGTGTATTACATAAATAAAATAGCGGCCAATTAAAGAAGGATAATCAAAATCTTACAAATGCTAAAATGCTAGGCATATAGTTTCTATACCTTCATGAAGCAAAGAATCTGATGGCTGTGCAAGAGAAGAGGAAGTGCCAGGCTTTGAAGTCGTCCCTACAACAGGTGTTCTAACGGAAGATGTCACAGCTGAAGACATTCCTCGGACAGGTTTTAGAGGCTGAACATTCTGCTTTGTAGGATGTGGTGACCCTAAAATATTAACCAAAGGAGAAACACACATTATAAAGTGATAGTTATGCTGACTGATTTCCAAAGTGGTAGCATTTTTGTCTGCTACAGCAATGGACAGTCTTGAAAGGCACCTTAAAAGTTAACAGATCGTAGCATAATAAAGCAGAAAGTCAAACAGAAAGGAAGTTTTACCCAAGGCCTCTAATTACCAGGTGAAGCTTTTTCTGTCTATCATTGGGGGTGATAACAGCCAGAATCATCTTTTATACCTGACTGGCTGATCCACATAGCTGCCCAGCTATGCTACACATCATGACAAACTGGCTGCCAGGGTGGATAAAAATCAGTGCTATTTTTAAAAAGGTAAAATATAGGATTCTAAAAATTTAAATCAGATTTTTTTATTTAAATTGGATTTTTAAAATAAAATGCATTTTGAGGAAAAATCTTTCTATAGTTTTCTATTTAAGATACATTATAGTCCAAAGATTATTGATGAAATAAGGATTAGTTTTTAATTGTGTAGCATGAGGATGTGTATTCATGCAATGTTAACATTTTTCAGTTAATGAATTCCATTCGTTCATTCACAATGTCTTGCTTTTCCAGAGGATTCTGTAAGATTATTGTGCAATTTTTCTACCTAGAAGATAGTATCATAGATGCTTTGTTTTATAGTTCTCAAGATTGTGAATCTGTGTCTGCAGAGATCACATGCTTCTTCACAGCAAAAATGTCATAAAATAAGCTAGGAATTGGGAAAAAGACCTTAATCCCATTGCTTCTTTGCAAATCTACATACACAGAATCAACCCCTTACCACTTATATGCCAAGTTTCCAAAAAAATCAATGAATAGAAGAAGATAGTTGGGAGTGGAACAGACCTGCACAAGAGGCTAAGTGTGAGGAGGGAGAGGCAAGCATTAAAATGAACCCTTTTGAGCAGAATACTCCACAAGTCTTTGAATCTTTTTGTATATAGCCTGAGGTTCATCATTCTATTCATTCCCTGGAGGACAAATGGCAGTGATCCAAAAAAAAGAGACCCAGTTTGGGAATATTTTAATGAAGATCCTCTACCTAGTGTGACTAGTGATTTAAATCAAATCCACGTCGCTGGCTGCACCAGCTGCTTCTGGGGATGGAATCTTGAGGAAGATAAAGGAGGAAACTCTCTGGTTTATTCCTAGGGTAGAAACTAGGAGAGCTGACCACTGCTTTGGCCATTGCTGCCCCAGTTTACCTCCCTGAGTTAAGCAATTAGTTACTTTGAGTATAGACAGAGCTTAGCTACCCCTGAAATTGTGGAGACCTTTCTCACATATCCACAAGGTCAGTGTTGGTGAAGACTTGGCTACACATTCCCCAATTTGGGTGCCTAGAATAAATCTTCAAGTGGTACCTCAAAAGTACAACTCAGGCACAGGCATACTTGCCACACAGCCAATAATAAGAATTTAGCCATATTATTGGTAGGCATTATAGTGGCTCCAAGATTTCTGCCTTTTCCAACAACAATGTACTATCACACACAAACACTGGGATCAGCTAGCAATCAAGAGATCTGTCCAGTGTTTGGATTCTTGGCCTACAGCTTGCCGAACTCTGTAAGCTGTGATCAGTAAATGCTGTGGCCATTTATAACTAACCTCAAGCTCTATATAATTATTGCTCCTTTGCTCTAATTTCACTCTACCCTGCTGGTCAAACTGTCATGAAATTTAAGAGGTGAATCCTATTTAAAGCTTAAATGTGATGAGAAAAGCACACTAACCACCCACAACAACAATCTTCCTAGCTAGTGTTTTAACACTTGTAGTAGGAGAAGAAAACTATTGTTTCCATTTAGGACTAAACCAGTTATATCAAATTTACTGCAGAATTCTATACATTCATCTCCAATACTCCATTAGACATCTGAAGCCTTGCTCCAGATTCCTTGGCCATATTGAAGAAAATGGCAGTCATGTTTTGGTATGAGTTTTCAGCATTTGGTGAAAACATGATTGTTCAAGAAGGCATTTAACTAAATGTTTTTCTGGCTTTCTCAATACTTTAAAAAATCAGTGTTTTGTTTGATAAAGATAGAAAATTCTGTTTACACTTTGAGTTCACCTGCTGAATACAGGCAGATCTTATTTTTTAAAGAATAAACATAGTTCAGCAATTTTATTTATCTCCTGCTGATGTTCCTCTTTTAAAAAATGCCATGATTTTGCATCACTGTGCACAACTTTTCCTTCTACATATATGTATGAAAACATATATGCACACATATGCAACCAGAGAATAACACTTCATGCACCTGATTAAACAGGTTCTGACCTCAGTAGGGGCAGCCTCTGGAGATAGTTCAGAAGTTACAGCTTGCACAAATTGTGACAGTCAGACTGACAGCAGGGACCAGAACATGTAACAATGATTCTGACTTGCCTGCACTGGCTGCCTATGTTTCCATCCCCAATTCAAAGAGCTCGTTTTGACCTTTAATGTGTTTACATGCTACGTGATAGAACACCTCTCTTGGTATGAACATACCCGTACACTTTGTCATTTAAGGCCCTTCACAAAGTGACTTTCTCTGAGGGAGGTTTGGAGGATAGCAACAAAGGAGGCCCTTTGGTGGGGGAGGCACAGTACTCCATTATAGAATGTCCCCCCTAGTGAGGTCTACCTGTTGCCAACATTGTGGTCCTTTCAGAGTCAGTTTAAGATCTTCCTCTTCTTCTAGGCATTTGACTACATATGATAGAGTTTTTAATGAGTCCTGGGATTTCTCAGTGTTGACTGTTGAAATTGTGTATTTAAATATTATAAATTTCTGTATTTGGCTATTAGGTGGTATAAAAATGCAATAAATGAAATGAAAAACTTACGCAATACATTTGTTCATTTTTAAAGTGCCACAAGACCTTTTGCTGTTACTACTGAATGACTGTGAACTTCATTTGAGAGACAGAGAGAGAGAGAGAGTATGCCTCTGGCTGTTGGGTGGTATAAAATGAAATAAATAAATGGCACTAAAGAGAAAGATAAATTCTGAACTGTAAATCACTACTACTAAAATGTATTATTCAATTGCTGTCATATCATTAATGTCAGCCAGAATACCAATAACTAGCTATCAGTCATCATTACCTTAAAGTTAACACTTTCTATGACCCAACCCAAATAATTTAATACATATACCACCTGGAAGACAAGCTTGTAACTATGTTCTAAACAGCATTCTTAGGCCACATAATATGGAACATGTTCTTATAGAACATTTGGCATTCAGGTCAGCCTATCATAATAGAGGAAAGAATCAGTACCTGGACAGAGAAAAGTGAACCAGGATGGGAAGAGAATGTTTTGAGTGAAGATGCATGAAGGAATTCAGCTGTCCTTATTCACTTATACCTTTTCTTGTTAAAAAAGAGACACTTTTCACCCAGTTTTAGGAAATAAGCAGCACATACATGAACTAACCATTTATCCCTTTCTTATCTAGTTTGGCCCTTGTACAATACCTGTGCCAATTGGGCTGCTTGCTTCAGACACAGATCCTGCAAAATTTCCACTGTGATTCACTTGAGTTGACTGGAGTTCTGGGGCAGACCATGATGCAGAGCTGTAACTCAAAGGAACTCTCTGTTGCCCTATAGATGGGCCTCTATTTTGATCAGAGTAAGCATTTGCCTCTTGCAAATGTCCAGGAGCTGGTACACTGTGGGATGTAGGCACTTGCCCATATGGACAGCCAATGGACATAGAAGGATATGAAACATTTGGATAAGCAACACTAGAGATAGCAGGCATGGCATAGTGAGCAGAAGGAGCAACAAATCCCTGAGATGGAACTGAAGCACTGACGGAGTGCAAGGCTGAATTGCTATAAGGACTACCATATGAGGAAAATGACTGTGAAACGCTGGTATGGAATTGGGATGAAGAAGTCATTCCCTGGACAGGTCCAGATGATTCTGCAACATGAGGTGCTCTATTGTACAAGTGCTGTGATCCCTGTGTGCTCAAAATCTTAGAAGTCACAGGAGATGCATTAACATTTTCTGCTGGCACTGAATACTGGGCAGAAAAATAATCAGCACCATAGTGGTTATCCAGCTGTGAAGGAATAGCTTTATTGGGCACTTGTGAGTAGTGTCCTGAGGGAGCACTATAGTTTTGAGGATGTGATCCATATCCAGCAGAAAACTGCATCTGATTTTGTGCTGGTCCTGGAAGAAAGGAAGAAAGGGGGAAAAATCAATGCATTATAGTTATACAGATCATGCTTTTAAAGAATGATGGCATGTTTCTTGCCTATGAGAACCTGTGCCACAATCAACTATGTAAGTTTTGTTGTGTTTTGCTACTCAAACAAATATAATCACTCACATGCGTTTTGTCCAAGAGTTCAGTAACCATTATGAAAGAATAGATAGCAAATAATGAAAATACTTTAGCAACAACTTAAACAATCCAATATACCAGATATTAAAGCACTCTAGGGTCAAACTTTATATTGCCCCTATAACACTGAAAAGATTTCTTGCCTTCTATCAGAAATATAGTGGACAGTGCAAAGTAACACAACTGTTTTAGATGCAAACAGCTGGTAATCTGAGCCACCTAGCATGGGAGCCAGTGATGTACACCATAATACTTTTGTGGCCTGGTTTATACACAACATTCAGCATGACCTGAGGACCATGTTACAAAAATGTCTCAAAGTACTGGTGCTGTGGACGCTTGTACAGCAAGCAATGCATTTCACTGGCACACTACTGTGACACCATAAATCAAGAAGCTGGTGCAAGAAGTAGCAGCATGGAAAGCTGTCACGAACATCCTGACATATTTACTATTGAGCTTAACCCCTAGGAAAAACAAATACTGGCCATTAGTAATAATAGAGATTAAAATTATGTCTTGCCTTGTTATCAATATTGGGAGGTATACAAATTCTGGAAGCCTTGGCAGACATCTGTTATTTCCTGTTAACCAGCTATGAGGGCCAATCGTGTCATGATACTACAGCATTATTCTACACATTTTCAGAACCCGACAATTTCAAGCTAAATAATATGCTACTAATTCAGCTTTTATCTAGGATAATTATAACATGAATTTAACATTTTTGCACTGTGATTCATTTTATGACTTGACTTTTTTCTTCTTCTGGCTATTTTCTCTAGATCTAGTTCTAACAGGATCCAACAAATGCACTGAAATCTCCAATAGTAAATGTTTACAGTTTCTCATAAAGAAACATGACAAAATTTTGGCCAATAAAATGCCTATTCCCATATTCAAATTTTTGAAGAACTGCTACTGCAACTTCAGCTTAACACACACACATGGCCATTCATTCAGAGCATCTTGCCTAGTTTTCTGCCTTTCCACACCTTTATAACTGGCAGTAATTATCCAAACAGTTACAGACCGCGAGTACCCTCCTCCTAAGTAGCTCATTCACTCCAGAGAAAAGGAAAGGGTTGCTCATCAGAGTTCATTAAGGCAGACTCCAGGACATTCATTTTGAATACATTCATATATTTCCTTTCAACATGCCTTCTCAGGTATCTATCTATACCTTCACTATTAGTAATACAAATAATAAACTTTAAAGAGCCTTTTTATTTATCCACAGAGAGAACTTATGTTTAATTCTGAATTTCAGATTTACTAAACTAAGAAAATGAGACAGGTTGTTTTAAGAATGAGGCCTCCACATGAATTCAAAAAAAAGAAACTGGATTTTAACAAAGACAGACTTTAAAAGCTCAATTACAAAAGCAAGGAGAAAATATTAATATATATTTATTCACAGATAGTAGCAAAGTAATACCAACCAATGCACATTCAAGTTTAACTCTGCCTATGGGCCAAACCATCCCCTTTAAGAAACAAAGCACAAAGGCAAGAATTATCTGTAAGCCACTATGATAGACTTACTAAATGAAGCATGGTTTACAAATGCCTTAAATAAATATAAATACACAGAACAGTTATGTCAGACAGGGACAAATTAATACACAGAACAGGGACACATACCAGCTGTTTTCAGATTCACTATCTGCTATAGTATAAAAATATAAAACTTTGAAACTTGCTCACTATTGCTTACCAAAAATAATTCATAGTTAAATTACTACTTAGCAGAAGCCAGTGCTGAGTACATCCATGAATCCTATAATTTATCCAAGGACCTATATGCAGTTTATTTTACTCAGTCTTTTTTTATATCAAGACTTCAGAGATTGTTTAGTGTGAAAGAGAGTGACTTGCCCAAGACTATAAAATGAGTTTTGTGAATGGGCAGAGACTCAAGACTAACTTTCTAATACTCCACACACACACAGAATTTTGTCGCTCTCAAAGTTTGTATTTTTAGAAAATGCAGTCTTCCGGAGTTCTGGATGGGGTTGCACTCTCCTTGAAGAAGTAGGTTTGTAGCTTGCAGGGTTTTCCTTGGTCCATTTATCACTTGTAGCTCAGCTACTCTCAGAAACATAGTCTGTCTTTTACTAATTCCAGCAGGTGGCCCAGTTACACCACTATCTGAACAGCAATAGCCTAGTAATCTTCAAATTAGATTACTGAAATTCACTCTACCTGGGGTTACCCTTGAAGGCTTTCAGAAGCTGCAGCCAAAGGTGCAACTAGAATCAGAAGGATTAAGCATAAAAGACCAGTTCTGGCTCTCTTGCAGCAGCTGCCTATATGTTTCCAAGCCTAATTCAAGGTGCTGGTTTTACCCTATAAAGTATGGGTCCTCAAACTACGGCCTGCGGGATGGATTCGGCCCACCATGCCCTTTCATGCGGCCCGCACTGCCACCCACCACCCGCGCTCGCTGCGCGGGCGGGAAGCGGAGGCTTGCTCACTCAGAGATGGTTTTGGACTCGCTAGGAGATCTCCCAGCGAGTTCAAAACCATCTCCGAGCGAGCGAGCCACCGACACCTGCCTCCTTCATGCACACGTGCTTGCCGGTGGCTTGCTCGCTCGGAGATGGTTTTGAACTCGTTGGGAGATCTGAGAGAGAGCGGGGCACGCCCAACGCCACCTTGCATGCACCGGACAATGCCTCGCCGGCCCGCAAGCCCAGGCACCCCCCCTCAACGGCCTGCATGTGTAGCCGCCACCTTTCAATTGGCCCCCTATTGAAAAGGACCCCTGCTATAAAGCCTTACACAGCTTGGGACCTCAATACTTGATAGAGCACCTCTCTCTACCAAAATCTACCTGGACACTATACACCTCACTGTATACTGAGTTGTTTTCATTTCTGTTTTAAAATATTCATATTTTGCTAAGATTTATGGTATTTTATTGCATTCTTTTATGACCTGTAGTCAACCACCCAGAAGTCATGAAATTACTATCATCATTATTAAGAAATATTAATTAACTAATTATTTATATTAACTAAATGATTATGATGGCTCCACAGACTAGAACTGGCTACCATAGTAACATAATACATCAAAGTAGTCTGGCACCAACAAGGATCATATCTAGAAGGCAGAGCATCTTCATAAACCATGCACAGATAAAATGCATGCCAAAACAGCTATACATTCAGCAATGTCTTCATATTCAAAGGTGAGACAACTAGCATGAAACTAAAAACTCCATGAGAAATCCCTGACATCACTTACTTGCAACCAAGAGTGATATAAAATTCCATAATCCAGTCCAAACAAAAGTCCTTCGGCTGTAAGAATATACCATCAACAGGACTATGTGATGCTCACTCTTTGCTTTACTGTCTTATAGAAATTCTTTTACAGTGTTCACTTTCTATACAAGGTAAAGGCTTGCATTTCTTCTGTCTATGAAGACCGTTTCCTTACCAAACTTGTTGATTAAACTGCTTACACATGTTTCTTTATTCATTTACTTTTAGAAGTGCACATTTATGGCTTGAAAATATCTGGATTTTTGGCACAAATACTCCTTATATAGCAGTACCAATAGTACATAAATCACAATGTCAACAGATTAAAATGCCAGCTAAATATTTCAATAAAACCTATAAATTTACTTGTGTAATAGGCTAAAAGAATCTGTGGCAATCATAAGAGCTACTGGGATACAGATCTATCTAAGCATGCACACATGGTAATGCTGATGCTCTTGTCTACAGTGAAAATTTTTGGTTGATATAAGAAGTGAAATCTCCATTTAGAAATGTTTAGCTTCACAAATCAAAAGTGTCCCAAATAAAAGAAGGAACAAGTCGAAACAACTAGTCCACAATCCCGTTTCCAACAATAGAAAGCCAGATGTCTCTGAAAAGAATACAAAGAGTAGATGGTAACAGTCACTCCTCATTATCTCTCCCAACACCTAGTGTTTAGTGGTATGCTATCCCTTAACATGCATACTTTATTTGACTATCGCAAAATGATACATACATCTTCCATGGATTTATGCAACCCTGTGCCCAACAGTAGTCCTATTCAAACAAAAAGAAAAATACATAGGGACAAAAACTATAGAGTAGGGATATAAAATATCAGGCATTGGGGTCCATCATGGCCCTCTTAGGGTCTCCAGAAAGCTATACTCCATTCTTTTGGCATCATTCTATTTTCTCCAACTATCAACTGGTGGGTTTCCAGCTTGTGTACAGTTTTTCCTATATTCAAAAAGGTTGAAATGACTGTGACTAAGGCTCAGTTACTCAGTTTAAGGTAAAATATCTGGCATTTTCACCCCTTCTATTTTTTCAATTAACCAGCAAGAGCTTCCCTGAAATGAAATTTGTCATTTGGGCTAAAACAGGATTTACATTACTTTTGCTACAGGGCTGCATGTCCCACCCCTAATGTCCCCATGCCTATCAGCCCCACCCCCTCTACTCCTGAACATCATGCATTCAGGGAGATCCAATGGGAGATCTTTGCACTGAACATGTAAAGAATGAGAATTTTGGGTGGTGTTTGCAATAAACGCCAGAAAGACTGCAGTATAGAGGTGGAGACCTTCCTGAATAGATAGGATAGGGCTGTTAATCAGATTTTTGTATACAGATGTGTATATATAGAAACTATATACTACACAATATATACAGAAATTATGAAGTAGGACAATGTATATGGTTTCTGATACAGCAAGAGGTCACATCATAAATTTCACTCAATATTTCAGAGTAAGAAAAAGTGTGATCCAGGCTAAATGAAACAGATTGCCCAGAAGACAAAAGGATCTCCTTAAATTTGGTAAATGAGCAAAATGAGATTCAATATAAATAAGGTACACAATGGGGCAAAACTGTGTGAACCAATATACACAACAAATGGGTCTGAACTGGCAAGAACTAGGCAAGAAAAATCTTAATCACAATTAAAAGAAAAGTAAAGTATCTATTCACTGCAACAATGAAGATAACGACAAATTTCATAAAAAGGATTGAAATAAGCCAGGCCATATTTCCACCAATGCATAGCTACAATGTATTAAAAAGGATACTGTACAGCCTGAAACAATAGAGAAAAAAGTCACTAATGAAGCAATCCTATGCCTGGTTTGTTGGAAAGTGCTGGAAATTACACAACTTTTTCGTATCTAGACATGCATAGAATTATGCCCTAAAATGATTAAAGAGTAGAACACACTTATTAAATAAAAAACTGAAGTTTCAAGCATTTTGGAGGAGGGACAATTGGTGGGGGAGGAGGAAAAATGAGATAGGTAAGCATGCTGTAAATAAAGTAATAGAATTTTTTTTTAAAATTCCCCTTTTCTTATAGAATTTAACATCATCTAATGAAAGTTGCAGGAGATACAGGACAGGCAAAAAGGAAGAACATCTTCACATCAAGTTGTCACAGGATATGGAAATGGCACTGACTTAGATGGCTTTAGAAGGGGATTAGATGAAATCACAGAGGAGGATATCAGCAACTGACAACCACGCAGGAAAACTAAATAGACTATCTACCTACAAAAACAGTCTGTCACTGAGTGCCAATATGAGGAAGAACACAAAAGCGGGGGCTAGGGTTGCCTTTGCATTCTGTTTGTTGCTTTCCAAAAAGTATCTCTGCAGCCACTGCTGAACACAGCACACAGAAAGCTTATTGTGCACATGCATGTCAAAAGCCTACCACATGACAACAAAAATACATCACAAAAGTTCAATGTTCAGGCTTCGATGGCAACTTTGCACTCTGGCCAAATAATGTTACTCTCCCTCCCGCGCACACTCTCTGCTCCTTTAGCATCCCAAGCCATTCCCAGTCCCTGGCCCCGGCCATTCCCACAAAGCCACAGAGCACACATTTTTCTCTTGAGGTTGGTGCTGCATCCCAGCCACGCAACTTGCCCAACTCCAACTTGCCCACAGTTCTGTATTCTTCTTTCGTACCGGCAGACACCAACTCTTCCTCTCCGCACCGCAGTCTCACTCAGCCACGACTCCACAAGCGACCCTTCCCTTGAGTTGCCTGCCGGCACCTCTGGCCCCCACACGACTACTACTTCTTCTTTCCCCTCCCCACTTCCTTTCGCCCGCGCCCTCACCGTCCAGCCGGCCTTACTTCATTACCGTTCTGACAGAGTCCCACGCCGCCCGGGGCTCGGAGGCCCGCGGCGGGCCCGCCAGGCAAGGGAGCCCTGACGGGGGCGAGGGGCGGCGGGGGGAACCCTGTGGGGGGCACCGACATGGCGCCGTCTTCACGACGCTGCCGCTGCTCGCGCTGCTGCTGCTCTTCCTTCTCCTGCTATTCTTCTTCTTTTCCTTCTCCGGCTCGCCGTGGAGTTTGGGGCGGGGAGAGGCACGACGAGAGCGCGCCTACGTCAGCCGCCAACGGAACCGACTCTGGCAGGAAGGTGCCGAGAGGTCGCAACGTCGTTCCTCGGAAACCAGCGGCCCCGGGACGCACGAGCGGAAGGACGCTGCGCTGTCAGCTGCTCTGTCGCCTGCGCCACAGCGCCCCCTAGCCACACCGCCAAGCTGCTGTCTTGGCAACTATGCTATCTATGCATGTGTGGACGGAAACGAAAAGCGCTACAACTCCCTGCATTTCCCAGCCACTTGCAGGGCTTTAGTTCTCTGTCTAAACATGCATAGGAGAGTGTTTTTACTATATTTTTATCTTCTTTGCAGATGATGTTTAAGCTGCAATAACCCAGTACCACCACCTTACAGCCATCGTAGGAGTACCACTTCTTCCGATTATTTATTACTTATTTATTACAAACATTTGTATCCCGTCATTCCCACAAGCGCTCAGGACAGCTTACATAACATAAAATTAGAATAATACAATAATAAAACCACAATTATTAAAACAATATAAAACAGAACATCATTACACCACAAACAACCCTTAATGCACTGCACAGAACTGCAGGTGAACCATGGCCTCTGGATCATGCATGGATGCCTATAATCCTGAGCTTAGAGGGTTACAGGCACTTTCATTGGATCATATTATTAAAAGTTAACTTTTTAATAAAAATAAAAAATAGAATGGCACTTTTTAAAATATGGAAAAGCATGTTTGCTATTTTGGAGATCTTGATGATGTCTTTTAAAAAGTGTATTTATCTGCACACTACTAGTCTCTAAAAGATAAATCTTCAGTGTAGGAGAGAGACCCTGCCTCTAGCAGTTTTGCATGTGCAGATCAATAACCAACTATGGACACAAAATGCCAAGGAATTGTCTTTCGGTGAGCCTGCCATTGCTCAATTGATACATTAAAGACACAATCCTTTGCAAATGTAGACAGACAAGGAAGCCTGCATACTGTTGATTCTGTTTCTATTGTAGTTGTTCTGTAGAACTGGATCCACAATGAAATTAAACATTCCATTAAAAGTGTGTGAGTGTGCATGTGTTTAATAAACTATTATGGATTAGTATACCATTTACTACCACAGTATTAATGAATGTAACAAAAAGCAAGCAAAATGGAACTTTCAGCAATGTGTAAAAGTTGCAAGTGGGACACTTTTTAGAAGGCACCACATCTTTGAGGTAAGTACATGTTTTATAAGATCCTAAGGGTGTAACCCTATGCATATTTAGACATAAAAGACCTATAGTTTCCAGTATCCCTCCAACCAGTCATGCCGGTGAGGCATGTTAGAAGTAGCAGGTTTTTTCCTGCCAAAATAAACATAAGATTGTGCCCTAAAAACATGAAAATAGATTCTCAATTAAAAAAAAAACCTTAAATGAACAAACAAACAAAACCACAGCAGCAGCCAAAAACACAAGTACAGCACAATTTGTTCAAATGCAGACTTCCAACATGTGTCTTTTCCAAAGGTGTTGAGGCCTGCACTGGAGTACCATTCCTAGTACCTGCCAGACTAATGGCTTCCACTGTTGAGCCAGAAGGTAAAGTCCCAGTACTGATCTTAATTCTTGGAAGACTTCTAGGTGGTCCTTCAGGGGACATAGGCTCAAACACTTTAGTCCTTTAAAGGCCAAAGCCAGTTGCTTGAACTGGACCCAGAAATGACTAGCTAGCTAGTCATTGGATCGGATTAAGAGAACAGGTGTAATGTGAACTAAGCAGTCTTTAGTTCTATCCTAAACAAGTCCAATTATGTATAGCTGCTTTCCACAATCTGGTGCTCTCCAGATGTGTTGCATTACAACTCCTATCAACCTCAGCATAGCCTGATTGGGGATACTGAAAATTATAGTTAGTGAAGTCCAGGCTATAAGATCAAGAGAAGTCCCTCCCAAACCAGCAGAATGGGCATTAATTACAGTGCTTCTGCATGAGACCAGGTTCACATGAACACTGGAGGGAAAAAAACCATGATTCTTCTCACCTTCCTCATGTTGGTCACACACCATTGTGATTTCTCCAATTATCCTCATGGTGTGTGGCTTCCTAAGTTATTTAAACCTGGCAAGATACATGGCAGGTGTGGCTTTGAATCCACCCAAGAACACTACATTAAGCCATGGTTTCTGGGTGGAGTCAAACAGTCACGCATTCACCTCCCTGGGGTGGGCAATATAGGAAGGCACATGGCACAAGGGTAATTGGGGAACTCACACCACATGTGCCAAGCATGCAGAGGATAGAGAAAATAAGCCGCCATGGTTTCTTTTTCTTGGTGGTCATTTGGGCCTGACCACGGAGCTACACCATGGGTACACTTACATAATACTATACTAGCACCACTGCATGGCATTCCACACCTCTCCCCTTATTCTACTGGAATATAGCATTGCTTTGTTAATATCTGTAAGTTTTAGTCATTAGAAGAAGGCGACAGTTGAGTGTATTTCTCTTGGTTCCTTTTGTTTTGCATGTATGTTTAAAGACTAATAAATTATCTTCCATATGTAACATAGCCTTTGTGATGCAAACCCTCTATTGTTAGCAAATCCAGATGTGCTGGCAGTTAGCATACCAGACCCCAAACAATTCCGTATAAACTTAGATCTCTTTTTTTCCTTTACCAATAATGAATGTGGTTACATTAGTTGAAACTGGCTATTCAGTCTATAATACAATTAAAGGCATTGTTCAGCTTAGGAACACATGAACAAACTGATCAAGCCATTATTCTATACAAGCTGTATCCTGTTTCCAGCAGTGCTGCTAAATCCATGACAATTGTGTGTAATGACTTTGTGGCCATTGTTAAATTATTGACTAAAATGTTTCTAATCAATACCAGTAAACTTATTCCTTGCTGAATAGGGTTTTCATTTCCGTTCCACATTTTTCTTTTCATGAGAAGTAGAAGATACACCATTATTAAAGCCCTATCATATGTCAGTACCATGACGCACGTTGAGTAATTAGCAACTAAGTCAACTACATTGTATCATCTTTCCTACCTTGAATCTCTTAAAATTTTCAGGGTCAGTATTGTCTTCTGTACATTTGTGATGTTGCTCTAAACAAACATAATCCTGGATCAGTATATGAAAGTTCTCACTGTCCGTTGCTAACTCATACACATAAATGCTGAGTCATAAATAGAGCATAGCAACAGAGGAGACTAGTGACAAAGACTAGGGTGATCCTTAGCCTGGTGCTGTGGGACACTGGAAATACATACCAAGGTCAAGCCCAACAGTCATTGAGGTGTGGGGGGGTTAATTCATCCAGAAGCACTGAGAAATGTTTCTGGAATGATCCTACTGCTAAACACAACATTGTCTTGGCTACAGATTGCAGCTGGCTTGTCATATACAATTTAAAATACGGGATCCATTTTTTAAAAATTTATGGTGCTGCAATTTGATTAAAGAATGCCAGGATCCCAAGGTGGCATACACAATCTTCCGTGTGTCTCTTCTTGAAAACCACTTTGTGAGGTAGGTTAGGCTGAGAGGCAGTGACTGGTCTAAAATCACCCAGCAAGTTTCATGGCCAAGTGGGGACTAGAACACAGATGAACACAGTCCAACCACTACACCACAGTGACTATAATTGTATGCATTGGAAAAAGCAACCCTATGGTCCCAAAACAGTGCCCAGATGCCACAAGGAAATCACTCTAACCTCAGAGCTGGAACCTGAACCTTACATTCCCCTTAGTGGGCATTCCACAGAAGAGAGCGGCACTGCCAAGATATGATACATCCTGGCAGTGCCTGTCAGGAGCAAGGGTTCCTCCTTCATGAGTTTTCCTTTGCAAAGCATTCTTGATTGACCCCAAAAGCACTAAACACCCCGAATGAATCTCTGAGCATGCACAGAGCATTTTGTAGAAGCCAAACTAGTAATCACCTCCAGGAATTCTCCTTATGAGCAAGCTTAGGCCTTCTGAAAGTGAACATGGCTCCTCTCCAAGCACTGATCCTGTAACGAGGCTGCCCTCCTCTGCTGGTGAGGCATCCTGGGCTCAAGGGCCATGCTCGCCTCACCTGAGCCTAAGAAACACCCCTGTTCCAAGACCTCCCCTGCCAGCTGTACCTCTGGGTTGTTCCCAGGGGCTGCCTGCCCACCTGGGGAGTCTGGCCTTGTGATAAACATCACCACTTCTCTCGTTTCAGTCTCTTGGCTTAGTCCACATTCCCAGGCTCCCCCCAGATCTGCTTCACATTCTGATTCAGATTCCTCTGAAGTCCAGCCAATAGTCCTTGTGGAAAGCATCCAAAGCAGGCGCCTCACTCTCCACAGTGCCTCAGCCACCATCCCTCTTCCTCCCAAATCAGTGAGGTGTTCTGCAGAGTGGGAGGAGGCACCCTTCTCCTCTCTGCTTCTTCTGCCCTGCATAAGATGGCTATAATCGCATCCATTGGCAACTAAGAAATAGCATTTTCAAAACATGCATGCAGGTAAAATAGAAACAAATGCCCATTGCTAATAAATGATACCCATGGATCATTTTAGAAGAGGCACATTCTCTTGAGAGAGAAGAGGGAACCCTATTAAAGACTGCGCTTGACTTCCATTGTTGTTGTTAATATTTGTACAAGGATTTTTCTAAATTGCTGCCCAATTAATGAAAACATTCTTTAAGGGTTCAATCCTAGGCATGTTTAGAAAGCATGTTTCAGCCAGCATAGCACCCTTAGTTTCCTAATTGAAGCAAGAAAAGGAGTAACTGCTAAATATAACACCTTGCCCAGCTTATGCTTGCAGAAGAGAAGGGTGGTGGTGGTGACTTGTTACACTTGTCACCTTTTTGCTGGCCAGTTTCTCTTCCTTTATTTTTTTCTCTTCTCATTGGTTCCAGTGGGAGGAAAAATAAATACACTAGCACTGATGCTAGGATACATGCTCCTCTGTTTTAGAATACGTATCCAGGATGGTAATGATGGTAATGATCCAAAGGCTGTCCTAATCTTCCCCCAACACTAACTTGGAATGCCTCCTTTGAACATTTACCACA